GAGCCTGTCCCTGATCCCACCCCAGGCCAGGCTCCACTCTGGTGCCCCCCGCCCATGAACTGGGGGCTTAGAGGTGGAATCCTTGACTGTCCTCAGCTTCCAGAGCCAACCTGGCTCTGGCCCCTCCCCAATGGGCTACAGAGGAAGCCAAGGCTTGTTCCCAGGACCTCCCCTGGCCCCTGCCCACCCCCTCCACGGTACTGTAGCAGGGAGCTCCTGCCCGCCTCGTGCCTTCTTTGTACACAGGCTTCTCACTGCAACCAATAAATTGCTCCCAGTTTGTACGTGCGGCACCTGCCTCCATCCTCCTCAGCTCAGCCCAAACAAATGACCACATCACCACCCAGCTGGCCCCAGGTAGACAGAGCTGGCTGCTGGGCTCTCAGAGGTTTGAGGGTAAAGATCTGTGGAGGAGATGCCAGCCCCTGCTCTCAGGGCTGCCYCTGCCTAAAGGCTGGTCATAGACACACAAATGAGCTTGAGAGGCGAGGATGAGGGAAGAGCCCTGAGCAGACCCGGTGGGACACAGACCAGTCTCGTGTGCTGGCCTGGGAAGGCAGGGTGGGATGCAAGGGTGGGAAGAGGCACAAGCTACTGAGTTGTAGGAACAGGTAGTCCTGGCTGTCACAGAACAAAGATGGTACATGGATAGAGAGACATCCCTCAGCCAGTGACTGAGTTCACGTAAGAGCCTGCTTTTCTGCCTCTGTTTCACCACCACCACCCCTGGGCACCCTGATGCAATCACGGAGAACCAGTTACCCAAGGCTGCAAAGACGAGCAGGTCATAGTATCCATCCCCCAGCCTCAGAGCAGGAGGCCCCGGAGCTCTCGTCTTTTGCAAGCTCCCCGAGAGTGGTACCAAAGCTTAGGTGGCCCACCATTTGGATGAAGCTCCCCCCATTGCGTCCCGTGTTTCCTGAAGCACTTAATCGTCTGTACTGAGGTTGTCCCCTCCACATAGGCTTGGGAATGGAACAAGGCTGTGTCCCTTGATTTCTTGACTCCAAGTTGCGTATTAATACTGTTCATTTTCCCCAAGGCTAAGCTGGGGATGTAGCCCAGTGATAGAGCCCTTGCCTAGCATCAGGCCCACTAGGTTCCATCCCTGGCACCAAAAACCAACCAAACAAATGAATAAAGAAGGGAGAAAAGGAGAGAATTTTATCTAAAGCTCTGACCCTTAACAAGATTCCAATAACAGCTGGAAATAACTGAAGAAATCTAGGAGCAGATGCCAGATTGAGCCACTCAGAGCCCTCAGGCCCAAGCTATTCTGGAAGTTCCTCCTGATGTCTACCTGGTGTCTCTCAGCCTTGACCTTGTGGCAGCTCTCTGCCCGCCCCCTCTTTCCAGCAGGGTCCAACACCCTTCCTGCACCTCATCCCTTCATTTTCTATGCTGGGGTTTCCCCTGTTTCAGGATGATTGATAGTGGAATGTTCAGTTCCCCCAGGAAAATCCCAGCCCCACCCCTGAGAAGCCAAGTTCTTAGAACCCAGTGATCAAAGACCTTCATTTTCCAGAATCTGGAATTCACTTGTTTGGGAATAACACCATGGTGGGGGTGTCAAATCCCAGCTCATGTTGAGCAAAACTGAGCCCAGATCAGTCCTGTGCTTACAGCCACTTCCTGCTTGAGTCAAAGGAGAGTTTATACACCTCTCTGACTGGTTGCACATGCCCAGTCTGACACTCCCCCCAACACACACACACATGTGCACGCATAGGCTTGGGAATAGACACTTTTCCTACTAAGCCACTCCTGAGAATAAGACAGTTGCAGGAACAGGGCAGCTACACTTCTAGGCAAGAAACACGGGTGGTAGAGATGCCACCACAGCCACTACAAAAACACGCTCCACAGTGCCAAGCTTCCTGAGCTCCCGGGAGCTGCAGCACCTCCAAACTGCATGCCAGAGAAGGTCTTGGCTCTTGCATCTCTAAAAGAACCATCAAGGTGATTCTTTCCTTTTTGGGTAGCAGATGGGATTGCACTTCCAGGTCCCCCCTTGTTGGGTGAGGCCATGTGACTCATTCTGACCAATGAGCTTGAACAGGAGGGAAGCAGCTCAATTGTCAGCTGGACCCTTTAATTGCTGGTGTAAAACTGCTGCTGTGGAAACCTGTGTTGAGATGAAGTTTCTGTCAGCCTGAGAGTCCCCTACCAACCCATATTGCATGGGATGTGGGATGTTTGAGGATTGGGAGCTTTGGGGAGCTCAGCATCACCTCACCTAGCATGACTGGGTTGCACCCTGCGGCAAGCTCTGCAGAAGGAACTTTTATTCAAGCATAGAGCCCACTGTGTGGAAGTTGAGCTCTAAGGTGAGGGTCATGGGAACTCTCTCCCTCTCTTACACCTAGGCTCAGAGTCATGGGCTTGTCCTTGTTATTTTGACAATAGTAATAGTAACAGATACGTAATGCCAGATTTGTGGGACCCCAATAGACCTCCAGGAGTTGAATCCGATGCAATCACACAAGAGTCTATTGCAAGCTCCAGCCTGGACTCACAACCGTTCCTGATGCAGCGGTCCCCCAGGGAGTGAGTCCCGGTCCATTGTTCAGTGAGATCTTATAGGTTTTGGGGGATACTCTATGTGTCACAACATCACACAGCAAATCATTCCACACGGCAGGAAAAGTCAAACAACAGCTCTTAACATTGATTTGCACATTCACTGGCAGGAACAAGTTAGTAGGGGTGATTGGTTAGTACAAGAGGGGGATTCCTTTGAACTGATTGGTTTAGGCCACGAGGGGTGTACGTGCTAAACTACATGGTTTCCCAACATGTTATCAACCACCATAAACTACTGGGGGGTCATCTGGCATCCCAGGTATTTTCCCTGTCTCATGCTGATTGGAGGTGGCTAGGGGGTTGCTATGGGTCTTCACCTAGCCTAACTGAGTCAGGGACACCTGGCACTGCTGCAGATCTCTCCTGTTATTTGCAGACAAACAATTCAGCAGGGTGGGTATGTGCTTAGGAGTGCTCTATGGGTTTTTCCAAGGACAAGGGTCATGCCCCCTTCCTTAGGACAGGCCTTGAGGTAGAAGCTGGTTTCTCAAAAATGGAGTCACATCAGTTTCTCAATACCATTTACTGCTAGGCACAGGGCTTGGGTTTTTATGCATAATATCCCATACATTACAGGGCACTTGCAGCCACGATTACCCAGGGCCTCAATTGCCTCCTAATTGCTGGCCCAGTGACATCTGGTAGTGCTCTCCGATATCTCTGGGCATGTCTCCCTGCTGACCGCATTTCCGTTTTCACTCCATCCTCAACCGCATGCCAGGCACCAYGCCCCAAGTTGGAGAATAAGATACCAAGATAAACACATGTCTGTCCTCCTGGAGCTCAGAGTCCTGTAGGAAAGACAGATGAATCAGCAAAAATTACCACTCATTGTGGTAAGCTCTTGCTAAGATTATGAGACTTAAGGAGCCCTTGAAGGAAGCTCTTAACCCAGGCTGGAAATATCAGGGAAGCTTCCTGGAAGAAGGAATGACTAAGCAGATGAGATAGAAGAATGGATAGATGAAGTTGAGAAAATTGATCCAGACAGAAAAGACGGAGATTGCAATGATTTGGAGATTAGAAGCCAGTTCAAGGCAGCACAAAGGTGGGGCTGGGAGTTGAGCTGGAACATGTGGAAGAGGAGGCTGGGAGTGAAACCAAAGCACATCATGGGACAACTGAAAAGGCTCCAGTAAGAAGTGGAGAGTCACTGAAAGGCTGTGAGCAGGAAAGCAACAGGGTCAGATCTGTAGTTCAGAATGATCCCCGAGACTCTGTTTTCCTATCTATCAAATGGGGGATAATAATAGTACAATAGAGCTGTCTTGAGAATTAAATGAGGTAATGCAGCAAACAGTGCCTGGCACACAGATTATTATCCATTAAGCCAGGAATGCCTTCCATTGTGAAGCCAGGCTACAATCACATCCTATTATTGATTCATTTCTTGTGCAGCCATCTCCCAAACTGAGAAATGAAATGATTAAGGGGAAAGGCTATGTCATGATCCTGTCTGTGTTTCCTGATTTCAACACAAAGCCTAGCATATATAAGACGCTTGGTAAATGCRAGCTCACGATTTGATCAAACCATTGGTGCAAATCCTCAGAGTCCCAGGCCCAGGATGGGACATACTACATTCTTCCACAAGTGGGCGCAAGACGTTTCTCACAAAAGAGGCGGCGCTGGTGGCCAAGACTGGGCTCCAAGATCCCAGGACTCCCCAACCCCTCGGATCTTACTCTGAGGAAACCCGGTCCAAAGAAGGTTGTTTTCTTAGGTGGTCGCCGCAAGATGTCCAAGGCTTTATGATCAGTCAAATGAACCCGATAATAGAATGAAAGTGTTTCGAAAATGAGCACTGATGGTAATTGCTTCCTCCACCGCTGCTAATCGTGAGGGTTTTGGGYTCTGGGTGTTTTTCACTTTAGGAAGGCAAACGCCACCTTCTCCTGGGGCACTTGAATCTTTATGGAGGCGAGAGGGTTGCAAGTATCTAGGGCAGATTAGTATAGGCTCGTATCCTGGTTCCTAATTTTGCAAATACTCAGTCTCTGTCAATCACCCGGATTGGGAAGCCACAAGACTCCATAAAGGAGGGCTGGTGGGGATCAGGACAGGTAAGACAGGTACCTTTATTTGGAAAAGGRATTTGCTGAAAGTTACCTGGATAAGTCAGGGAAGGAAGGGTTAAAAAGGACCCGGCAAGTGAAGAAAAGTGGTGAGGGAGCAAAGCAAGGCAAGAGTGGAAGAGGAAGCAAAGGGGTTGCTGGCCTCGGGGAAGGGATGGGTTAACGCGGGGCTTGCCTCTGGGAGGCACCGGAGGAGCGAGGAGATGGGGGCGGGACGTCGACACAGCCGAGGAAAACAACAGACCCACCCCGACAAAGACTGGGTTAAGGGGGCGGACCCAGAAAAAGCCACGTGCCGGGGCACAAGGCTATTGGTTTTCCCGGAATTGTTTGTGCGCGGCTATTGGCTATGTCGAGAAGCCATGAGTGCCGATTGGCTGAGCGTCGGAGGGGCCGTCAGGGCAGAAGCAGGGAGGAGGCGGCCGAACAGCGTCGCTGGGCCGGACTGGGCCAAGCCAGCGCCAGAGCTGCGGGTGCAGGGACCGCAGCCCAGCTGAGCCCGAGCTGCGGGCGCCGTCGCCGCCATGCGCTGGGTGCGGGCGCTTCTGAAGAATGCGTCCCTGGCAGGAGCGCCCAAGTACATCGAGCACTTCAGCAAGTTCTCCCCGTCGCCCCTGTCCATGAAGCAGTTTCTGGACTTCGGTACGGAGTCCGAAGGGAGGGAGGCGGGAGGCGGAGAGCCGCAGGGGCCCGCCAGATGGGGCGCGGAGAAGGGGTCCTGGCAATGAGAGGTTAACCCCCTGGAGCGAAGAGGCCCTCTGTGGCCAGGAAGACTTGCTCGGAAGAGTAGAGGCAGGAAGGGGTTAACAGGGAGGCAGGGCAGAAAGGGTTAAGGGTGCCCCCAGCAGAAAACACTGTCCCCTAAACTGTACGAGGGAATGGGGGGCGCTGAGAAGGAGGGGGTCCAAGGTTTCCTCCTGGGCTCGCGTTGAGAGGGGTCTGCGAGAGTAAGGGGCAGTGAGGCCTGATGTCAGCGCAGGGAGGGAGTGGAGCCCTATCTGGTCACTGAAAGGCCAACGGGGGGTTGTCTCCACAACTCTTAAAGAGTGAGTGACAGAGGAACTAGGGGGCATGGGGTAGTAGCGACAAGGCAGGGTTGAGAGGTGCAGCCATCTGGAAGAAAACTGGGCTGGAGGTGAAGGGTCAGACCCTCCTGAGCAGGCAGGAGCGAAGACCCTGGGCAGTTGGGCCAGGAGGCTCCTTCAGAAGTTGCCAGCAGGCGCCAATGCCCCTGACTGGTGTACCTCCACCCATTGCAGCTGCCTCAGTGGGCAAGGACACTTGAAGATCAAACCTGTTTTAGCCTGGCTGCCTGTCCTCAGCTGGACAGAGGCCCAGGTCACCATGAGGTGGTCAAGCTGCTTGTACCCTCCCTTGACTGTCCCCACTTCAGGGGCTGCTGGGTCAGGAGATCCCCCAGGATCTTCCCCTACCAATGTCCTAGGGGTGGCTTTGGGGCAGGAGGAGGGCTGTGCTAAGGTGGCAGCCAGGCGTGTGGGCCCTGTCTAAATGGCATTTCCGTGGTGCCAGCTAGAAATTGGGAGGGAGGGCCCAGGTCTCTCAAGAGTTGAGTAGACAGTGGCTGGCTTAGGTTACAGCTGCGTCACTGACAGAAAGAGGTCAGGGAGGTGGCAGCCAAGACATAAGGCACCTGTTTCTCAGGATATGTCTTCCCACCTACTGCCCTGTTTGAGTGTTGAGCTTCCCTCATGTAGGAAAGCCTGGTGGGCCCACTCTCAGCCCTTAGAAGCCACCCAGCCCATACTGGAGAGAAATGTCACACCTGCAGAGGACTTTGAGTAGTTTGTTCCACTTGTACAGTGGGGAAAGTGAGACTTTCAGAAGGATGGTGACTTGTCCTGGATGACAGATTTGGAGGCAGAACCTGGACCAGAACCCAGGTCTCCTGTCACTGGCTCATAGCCTTCTCCAGTCCTTCACCCAGCTTTTCATCTTTACTGGGGATCAAGGTTCCCATTTGCCTCAAAGATGGGCATTAATACTAGGCATGGTGGCCCATGCCTATAATCCCAGTGGCTTGGGAGACTGAGGCAGGAAGATCACAAGTTCAAAGCCAGCCTCAGCAACGTAGCTAAGTAGGCCCTAAGCAATTCAGTGAGACCCTGTCTCTAAATAAAATAGCAAAAGGGCTGGGGATGAGGCTCAGTGGTAAGTGCCTCTGGGTTTAATCCTGATACCAAAGAAAAGTAGGGGATCATTAATACAGASGCAACCTTACAGTGGGCATCCATCCACCTCACCAGCCTGGATAGAGTGGCCAGGGACAATGCTTGGACCCTGCAGCTACGGGAGTCTGGGTATAGCCCCCCTCAACGAGGGTGCAGTTCAGGTGGGATGGATGTCSTGGGTGCCTCTGCCCCCCTGGATCTACTCCCAGTGCCAAAGCTTTCGGGGAGGAAAGGAGAAAGAAGTGAGGTGACTTAGGCCAGAGCAGCTCCAAATGGGTCCCAAAGGGGCCCTGTCCCCATGTTTAAAAGCAAATAGGATGGGAAGGGGATGCAGTTCTTGAAGTACTGGACAGGTGATGGGGAGGCCTGAACACCACAGAGGTTAAGAGAGGTGCCTTATTTTTGCCCTGGGCAGGTCCTTTGTCCTCTAAACCCTGATCAGTGCAAGGTTTAGCTCACCTGATCCTGGAGATGTCCTTGGATTCCCAGAGTTTGTGCCTATGGACTCACCCCTCTGTCTTCCACCAGGGTCCAGCAATGCCTGTGAGAAAACCTCGTTCACCTTCCTTCGGCAGGAGCTGCCTGTGCGCTTGGCCAACATCATGAAAGAGATTAACCTGCTTCCGGATCGGGTGCTGAGCACACCCTCTGTGCAGCTGGTACAGAGCTGGTGAGACCTCTCCCATTCCATCACMCTGTGCCCCTCGGCTCAGGGATGGAGTCTCTGTGCTGCCAGCTGCCTTGAGGCGGGTGGGAATCAAGGGAAGACACAGGGGCTCTGAGAGGCTGGGGAGTTGCCCAGAGTAACATGGGAATTCTAGGCCYTAGCAGGAATAGTTGGCCTCCTCACTTCTGTGTCTGGGACACCCCTCTTCTTACCATCCTGCTTTCTCTGGGAACCCAGGATCCATCCAGAAATCAGTTTTCATAGTCAAAACCTTAATTCAGGCTAATAATGTCAGCAATGGCCACCAGCCCTAGGTCTGGAACCCCAGCCCCTATTAGACACTATTTATTTAGGGTGATTTTTTTTTTTTTTTTTTTTTTTTTTTTTGGTACCAGGGATTGAACTCATGGGCATTCAACCACTGAGCCACATCTCCAGCCCTATTTTGTATTTTATTTAGAGACAGGGTCTCACTGAGTTGCTTAGCACCTCGCTGTTGCTGAGGCTGGCTTTGAATTCATGATTCTCCTGTCTCAGCCTCCCGAGATGCTGGTATTTAGGGTGACTTTTTGAGAAACAGAAACAAGAAGCAAATCTTGGAACAAATTATATAATCCAAGCAACAAGTCTGATTGTTTTGGATGTTGGAAAATGCTCAAATAGATACAGGGATGACACAGTCTTTTCCCAAAGAGTTTTGGAGGACAAAGTCCATAAGTTTATTGCAGGCAGCCAGAGGAGCAGAGGTGAAGCCTGGGGAAGGCACTCAGGAGGGTGCAGGGTCAGGTAACTAGAGGTCATTAGCCAACAGCCTGTTCCATGAAGCACAAACAGGATGTGTCCTTCACCAGGCATATAGCTGGCTAATCATCAGTGGGCTGTCATGGTGCCTGGGCAGAATCGCTTGGCTGTTGGGACCCATGGAGTGGAATGGCTGTGGTTTCCTTTTGGACTCCAGAGCATGTGTCCCCCCACCTGAGCCCAGCAGCATGCTGTGTCTAAGAAAACAACAATGGCTGCCCTCAGGGAGCCCATCCTCTCATAGGAAAATACGATTTCTACCAAGACTGGGCAAACAAGTGCATCAGAGATAGAGGGAGGAGCAGTGAGCACTGAAGAGTTAGTTGTTTTTAAATGAAGAATCAAAGGTTATTATTATTATTTTTTAAAATGTTGTTTAATTGTCAGTGGGTCTTTTATTTATTTATTATTTATTSACACATGGTGTGCGAATCGAACCCAGTTCCTCACACATGCTAGGCAAGCGCTCTACCACTGAGCCACAACCCCAGCCCTAAGGTTATTATTCTAAAAGTATAATTGAGTGTTTTCCCCCTTCATTGAAGAAGGATAACATAATATCATTTTGACACGTGGAAAATACAAAAACACAGAAGAAAATGCGAACCCCTACTCTCTTCCCATAACCAGACACTGCTCAGGGTTCAGGGGCTTTTTTGGTGCCCTGCCAGCATTATGTCTGTACAGGAACACGCACACCCTTAAATTATTCTAATGAAATGAGCCACGGTAGATAACGTGTTACACACAACGCCAGGTATACAGTAGATGCACAATGAATGTTGACCAAATCAGAAGTTGTGGGAAGCTGGGCACAGTGGCGCACACCTGTAATCTCAGTGGCTCAGGAGGCTGAGGCATGAGGATCACAAGTTCAAACCCAGCCTCAGCAACTTGGCAAGGCCCTAAGCAACTCAGTGAGACCCCGTCTCTAAATCAAATACAAAATAGAGCTGGGGATGTGGCTTAGTGGTCGAGTGCCCCTGAGTTTAATCCCTGGCACCAAAAATAAATAAAAATTATATATATATAATCATGGTGGAAGGTAAAATGGACTTCAGAGGAACGTAGGCAATTCATAGCCAGAATGGGAAGGGGCTGGCTTGATCACCCGGCTTGGTCACCCGGGAACGTGCTCTGAGGGGTTGATTGTGCCCACTGTGAGCATGAAGGTGGGATAGAGGGACGGAGGGCAGAGTCTGATCTTCCTGTAGCCCAACCAGGCCACCCCTTGCTGAGCCCAGGATCTCCGAGCCAACCAGCGTGTCCCACCACAGGGTGGTGGAGCACTGGGGAGAGACAGAAGGTGCCATCTGTTCTGCCCAGCCTTCCTCCCACTCTGTCCGGCTGACTGGCCTGGCTGCCTCTCAGGACTGACCGACTCAGGCCGACTCCAGGACCAGGCTTTTCAGTTCCCTCCCTGGACACTGTGTTCTGGGGATAGCCAGAGGTGCAGGAGGAGGGCAGGGGATTGCTGGACTGTCCATGACTCCCCAGGACRCTACACAGAGTCCCTTTCTGAAAATCAGTGACCTGGGGGGGCTTGACCTAATTTATTCTTCTATCAAAGCTTGGAAGTAATGTCAAGTAACAGCAGGAGGGAGTGAAGTTAGACAAGAGAGAATACTTCACCAGAGGATGATTCAGCGTAGAGGAGAGCAAGCCAAGGGATTGTTAAGGCCTCCTGGCATGCTGAAGAGACAGCCTGCTGAGAGTTGTTTCCCGAGCCAGTGGGCATCAGCCACAGCAAGAGAGACTGAGGTGTGAGAGCAGAAGGACTTCCTGATGGGGACAAAGTGGTTGCCTATAAGAGTGCAGATCTCCTTTTCTAGAGAAACCTCCAGCTGGCTGAATGATGGATCAGATGTGGTGGGCGTGGGCAGGGTCTGTATGAAAAGAGGTGGTGACTTCCCAGGGAACCTGGCAAGACAGCCACCAGACTAAGTCTGATGAGTAAGAAATAAAACTCCCTGTTGGAGGGGCTGGAGTTGTGGCTCAGCGGTAAAGCGCTCGCCTAGCATGTGCGAGGTGCTGGGTTCGATCCTCAGCACCACATGCTGGGTTCGATCCTCAGCACCACATAAAAATAAATAAAATAAAATAAAGGTATTATGTCCAACTACAACTAAAAAAATATATTTAAAAAAAAAACCCTCTCTGTTGGAAACCAAAAGAGTACTGTGCAGACGCAGCTGGCAGTAGTGTCATAGTCACTGTGTGGTGATGGTTGGCAGGGTCACCCCTCAGCTGGGGCGGGGTCTGGGCAGTCCCTGTACCTGAAGAATTCCTGGTTCTGAATAAACCTGATGTGTTATTTCAGCTGGACAGACTTGGGGTAGCAGGCCATGTTTTAGAGGTGACAGGAAGGTGGRGATGTTCTAGGTATTGCAGACAGTATGGTGGCCCTACACCTCTGCTGCCTTGTCTGTAACATGGGGACTCATTCTGTTTCTCAGGGTCAAATGCTATTGCTAAAAGTGACAAGCACGCAGAACTCTGTTAACACCAGCGATGTCCCCAGGCCTCCGGGCAGCACCTCCAGGCCACAGATGCTCCAATTGTGGTGGAGGTTTCTAGAAGCTGCATCCTGAGGGCCAGCCTGAGTGCTCACATGCGCCACTTGTCCCCACAACCTTCCGAGTGGACTTTGCTCTCACCCCCCCCCCACTTTGTAGATGAGAAACTGAGGTTCAGGGAGGTGAAGAAGTTCTTAGGCCACCCTGGGAATGGGTGGTGGAGCTGGGAGTCGAACCAGGGCTACAGGATCTGGAGGCTGTGTTCTGGAAGGGAGCGGCAGGCCACCCCGTGGGCAGTGTCGCCGTGCTGAGAGGTTTTCCAGAGCCGGTGGGCATCCACCACAGCGAGAAAGACTGAGATCTCTAAGCTCACGTGTAAGTCCCCTGCAAAGTAGGGTCCACCAGCAAAGAGTCTGTCAGCTGGTGGCCACCCGGCTCCTCTTAGCAGGGGAGGATGGCCGGAGGAGGTGTGGATGGTGGGGACGTGCTTTTAGAAAACGCTCTGGGCTAAGTAGGAGTTAGAGTAGAATCAAATGACGGTGAGTCATTCTTGTCATTAAGAGTCTGTGGGGGTTGCTGGAAGGGGGCAGGTGATAGGGGGTGGCCAGCATCCTCTCACCAGCCTCCCTTGCCCATGAGCAAGGTGTGTGGACCTCAGACCCTGCTGCCTCCCCAGGRAACCACCCAGTCCCAGAGAATTCCATGCAGCAGGCCCAGGCGGATCTGGTCCCCCGCTGGGCTAGGGCCTGGGCAGAACTGGCTGCCGGATCCCCCAGACCCCCCTGCATAACTAAGGAGCAGATGCTGAGCCCAATAGGAACCAGGGGCCACGATTATCTCCTTCTATCTGTGCAGTCCTACCCCCTAGTTCCTGCTGGGAACCCCGTTGTGCAGGGGGGGACTGGGCAGCCAGTGGACTTCAGTGCATAGCCAAGCCTGCCCCCGAACCCTAAGAGAGTGCTCCAGGTGCCTGCCGGCTCTGGTCCTCTTCACTCAGTACAGAGAGCCACCCCCTCACATGGCCCTCATGTGGCTATCTCCTGGTCTACTTTGTCCCCAGCAGCTGTGAACACTAGTGCCCCACAGGCACGCTCCTCATGTTCAGTCTTACGCACCCTCCCCCAAGATCTTCAGGCACCCCCTCTCTGCACATCCCTCACTGAGGTGTGCCCACCCCCCACCCCACATGCCACCCTCCTGCCTTCCCTRTCGGGGCTCTGGACTGGTGAGAACCCTGAAGGCAGCCCTGGGGGCACCTCCAGGTGGGAAGCTTACCTAGGAGTAGCAGGCTCCCAGGCCCCAGGCCTCCCCAGTTGTTGTGGGCCCCCACTGCCCGCTCTGCCTGGACATGTCATCTACTTTAGACCCAGCTCTTCCCGGGTGCTGGGAGGGTAGGCAGCCCAGGAGCCAGCAGGGCTCCACCCCCTGTGTCTCCTCTGTAGGTTCCAGGTCTAGCCCAAGGGGGACATCTGGAGTGCCAGGCCCCTGGGAGCTTCAGGCCAGGGCCAGGCCAAGGATCCTCTGGGAATCTCCTCTCTGACCTGGGAATACAACCAGGGCTGTCAGGGAGTCTAAAGCCTGTGGCTATGTGATGTCCCTTATCACACTGTGCTGGCTGGCTGGCGGTGCTACCCACTGCCAGTTCATCCTGCTGTCCTTTGCTCCACGTCAGTGGCACGTGAGCACCCCATGCTGCCCGCTAAGCCTCACCGAGCAGCCCTACCCTCYGGCACTAGGACTCTGCCCCTGCTGCCGATGTGCAGTCAGGGAGCAGCTCCACCTTCTCCTCTGGCCTCCTCCATCCCCACCTGCCCCTGGGTCTTGAGAGGGGATCCCAGGGCCATGCTCCAGCTGGCCCCCTCCCCCCAGCATTGGAGATTCTCCCCCAAATCTCTCTAAGAGTCATCTGAGCATGAGGCTTTATTCTGGACGTGGTAGAGGACAAGGATTTAGAGTCACACGGGCCTGAGAGAGAGCATCCCGGCTCTGCATGTTCACCTCCTCATCTGTCTCACGCCTACGTCATGGGATCCCTGTGGAGGTCAAAGTGAAGCACCAGGGCGTCACAGAGCAGATCCAGAGAGTGCTGCCTACTGTCGCCATCGGCAGCAGCAGAAGCATCACTCTTAGGAGCAGTGTGGATGGGGAGCAGCTGGCCACAGGGTATAGCCAAGTAGACCCAGGTTCAAATCCCAGCCTGCTGCTCACTGTGTGGCTGGGGCACAGTACCTGCCTTCTCTGAGCTGGTCCCTTGTCCTCAAAATGAGGGAAATACTTTGCACTCTGTATCCCAGCTCTAAGCGCAGGTGGAGACAGTGGTCTCTGCGTAAGTGTCAGCTGTTATAATTCTTCAGGAGACCAAAGTAAGGTCTTAGTGTCATCCAATGTCTTCGGACAGGGATGGGGTAACTCTGGGAGGAAGCTGAACTCAAYTGTGGCTCCCCGTCCCCACCCTGGCTGGCTGGCTGGCGGTGCTACCCACTGCCAGTTCATCCTGCTGTCAGCAAGGACACCTCTCTCTGTCCGCTGTATCCTGGGCCCTGGGTGGGGAGGCTGCGGGAGCCCCAGGGGTAAGAGCCTCATTCCTGCCCACAGAGGGGAGCTCTTCAGGGCAGTGTGGACCAAAGAATGGTGTGATTTGGGGTCTATAAGAAGTACAGGGGTGTCGGAGGCCACTGGGGCTCAGGGTGTACTCAGATGGAGCGTTTCTGAGCAAGCATTCGGAGAGTGCAATGGGCCTCACCCCATGCCAGTGATCATCTAGTCCTCACCAGAAAGCAGTAGTAAATGTGTCTGCAAAGTCCCCATTTTCCTAACAAAGACATTCAGGCCCAGACAGGTTCCATGACTTACTCAGGGCCACACAGCTTGATGTGGAAGAGCCAGGACGGGGACCAAGCAGAGCCCATTCCAAGATGTTTACAGTCTTGTCTGCTGTCTTAGCGAGCGAGGGAAGGGCAGCAGTTGGTGGGTGTAAGTGGAAGGGCACCTGAGCAGAGGAACAGCCTGAGTGGAGGCCTGGAGGTGGGAATCCCGAGCAGTCACAGCCTGATGGGTGACAGGAGAGCTGGAGACCTCTGGGCCTTCATCATCCCCTTCCCAGCTGTGGCGCTGCCCCAGGCCTGGGTTGAGGTGACTCAGGCTCATCCCTGCCTTTCTTACCTCTTAGAGGTCGCCATGAAGGTCAGTGCATCCTGGCCTTGGAAGTGGCTCTGAATGTGGTAGGGCGCTTCCCAGACACACCGCCAAGCCTGGGCCCCCTGCCACAGGGCTAAGGACAGCCCCTCCCCCACCCCGCCTCCTGGCTGGAGCCGTTCTGCCCGAGACCCAGTGCTTCCTGCCCTCCCAGGAGAACAGGCTGCAGACTGGGCATGTTAGCAGAGAAACCGGGAACCTTAGGGGGAACAGTGGCTCCAGGTTGGCATCATCTGCTACCCCAGGTGACTCATATGCCCCCTGCTGGCCCTGTGTTCCTTTTGCATCCTCTGACCTAGCTGCAGGTAGGAGCAGGCACCCTGCACTGCTGCTGGGGCCCTTCAGAGCAAAAGGAGCCTCTCTGGGCTCTCCAGGGACCTAGCCCTCCCTCAGGCCCTGCCTACTCACCATTTTAGGATCCTGTTCCCTAGGCCTAATGTCACTCTGGAAGAGGCCCCTGCTCACCAGTCTCTGTCTGTACCCCAGGGGATGCAGCAGACGCCTATGGGAGAAGTGATAGGATTTCCGGGAAAGGGCAGGTGGACCTCAGTGTCTTCTCACTGCTGGGCCCTCGGTCCACTCTCCTGACCTATGAGGCCTCTTGGATGGAATTATCTCCAGGCTCCCCTAGGACTAGTATTCTAGTTTCCAAAGCAGAGGTGCCATAGGGGACCAATGGATTAGAGGTTTGCATAACTTACCAGGCTGTCAGGGAGACGTGCAGATGACAGAGGTTGAGGAAAGCTGTGCTGCAGCCTGTCCCCAGGTCCCACAGTGGGAACAGAGCAAAAGCAAGGTCCATCTTAGGGGCTGGAGGCGGCCTCGCCAGCTGCAGCTGAAGCCATGTCCCCTCCTTCCCTCTGCACACAGGTATGTCCAGAGTCTGCTGGACATCATGGAGTTCCTGGACAAGGACCCTGAGGACCACCGTACCCTGCACCAGTGAGTGAGGGCCCTGAGCGTGGCAGGGAGGCAGGTCCAGGCGAGGGGCATCTGAGGTTGCAGCTCCTGGTGGAACGCCAGCAGGGCAGAAAGATGCCTAGGCAGGGGAGAAGCAGACTCCATTCTCAGTGTGGGAGTCAGCTGGGTGAGGGCTGGGCCCTGCCCTTGGGGAGCTGCCCTTCAGAGGATCTGAGAGCTCTGAGCTTTGAGCACAAAGACTGTGGGACAGCAGAAGGAGACTGAGGATGGGCTTCAGGAGGATGGGGTGCTGTGTGTCATGGGGTTGGAAGGGAAGATGGGGAGGAGTCTGGGCGCCCCAGGGCTGGGGCTGGGTAGGGTGAACATCTGACCTTCCAAAGGTTCACTGATGCCCTGGTTACCATCCGGAACCGGCACAATGACGTGGTACCCACCATGGCCCAGGGCGTGCTGGAGTACAAGGACACCTACGGCGATGACCCGGTCTCCAACCAGAACATCCAGTACTTCCTGGACCGCTTCTACCTCAGCCGCATCTCCATCCGCATGCTCATCAACCAGCACAGTGAGCCCAGCTGCCGGGAAGGTGGGGGTGGGAGGAGGGGGGAGCCCCTGGGCTAGACCCCCAGCACATGAATTAAACAGATTGTTRTTTAGAGTTTCTTTGTCCAGGAAGGTTCACTGTGATTGTTGACAGATCATAGCCATCATAAATTCAASGAGTTTCTCATGCTCAACTAATTTCAAAATCAAGATGGGGAAAGCCGTAAAGGACAGCTGTCAGGTGGGATGGATGTGGGGAGAAACTTCTGGAAAGAAGCATGCTTCAGGCCTGCAGAGGTCCCAGGTGGCCTGAGCCAGGGGTGCAGCCAGGGTTGGGGGCACTTTGGGATCAGAGCCCCTAGGAGGTTGGAGAAGGGTGGATTCTAGGATGGCCCTGGGAAGAGGGGACCCAGGGACAGGCTCTAGGCCCAGCCAGCAGCACCTTCTCTCCCACCCACAGCCCTCATCTTTGATGGCAGCACCAACCCTGCCCACCCCAAACACATCGGCAGCATCGACCCCAACTGCAAGGTGTCTGACGTGGTGAAAGGTGAGCCTCCCTGGGCCTGGCCTGCAGGAGACTCGGGGACCACTCTAGGTCCACCTGCCAGGGGTGACCCATTCCCGGTGGGTAGGGGCACATCCCCATGAAGGTAATGTTGGTGATGCCCTGTCCACGCCAGGGGGACTGCCTGCTATGTGAGCCACCCATACCCCGAATGGCCCCATCTTCTTGCAGATGCCTACGACATGGCCAAGCTCCTCTGTGACAAGTATTACATGGCCTCACCTGACCTGGAGATCCAGGAGGTCAACGGTGAGCAAGTGAGGCTGTGCGTGTGTCTCCTGGAGGGCGGGGCAGGGGAGGGGCAGGGGAGAGCCGGGTGAGGGGGGCAGCCGGAAGGGGGTGCTGCTTTCCAGGCAGGGGAGAAGCAGGGCTGCTTTTAGGATTTTTTTATTTGATGGTGACTATTTCGATATTTGATAAATATTTATTGCAAGCAAGACAGACAAGGTCCCTGTTCTCRTTGGGGAGCTTATATTCTGGGTGCTAGGGAGGTTGGGGGATGGGGCCAACAAACACATAAACAAGATGATTTCAAATGGATAGGAAGGAAATAAGGCGGACTAGCAGGAGGGCGATGGGGGAGCCAAGTTGGAGGTGGGCCGTCAGTCTGGCCGCCTTTCCAGAATCCAAATCCGAGTGGCTAAATTAAGAGAGAGGTTTCCCTCTGGCCCGCCTCTGGGTGGCAGGGTATTTGGAGCTGGCTCCCCACCCCCAGCTCTCAGGAGGACAGGGAAGGCTGGGCTTCTGTGAGTCACTGGCTCCCCCCAGCTCAATGGAGGCTGGGGATATCTCTAGCTGGGCAGCCATTGCCCAGTTACAGCGTGGAAGGGGTGGCCGTTACCCAAAGAAGAGGGGGCCAGGAGGGCTGCAGGGCCTGTCTGAAGGAGGGTGGGAAGTTACTCCAGGCTGTGTCCTGACCTTGCTCTCCACTCCCTGCAGCTGCCAACTCCACCCAGCCCATTCACATGGTCTACGTCCCCTCCCACCTCTACCACATGCTCTTTGAACTCTTCAAGGTGAGGAGGCTGGGGACCCCCATTCACAGGGCTCCTATTAGGTCTGGCTTCTCTCACTCAGCTCAGCCCTCATTCCCTCCCCCTCCCCAGAATGCCATGCGAGCCACAGTGGAGAGCCACGAGTCCAGCCTCGTTCTCCCCCCTATCAAGGTCATGGTGGCCTTGGGTGAGGAAGATCTGTCCATCAAAGTAGGTGGCCCTTGTGGGTGGGGAAGACCATGGAAAGGGCAGGGTGGTGGTGGGTGGAAAACTAAGCTCTGGAGGGCTCCTGACATGTCCCCTTGGCCCCAGATGAGTGACCGGGGTGGAGGTGTCCCCTTGAGGAAGATTGAGCGACTCTTCAGCTACATGTATTCCACAGCACCYACCCCCCAGCCCGGCACTGGGGGCACCCCGCTGGTAAGATGGCTTCATCCAGGCCCCTCTCGCTCCTGGGGGATGCCCGCCTCTTCCACCTCTCTCCCTCTTGCTTCCCTATCTCCCAGTGATGCTGTACCCTCTGTGGCGGTGTGTAGTGACAGTTCCCTCTCCTGAGTCTGGGCCTCCTGGTCTCCTCATCTCTCCCTTTCCTGCACGGGTCCACCTCTGCTGAGGGTCGTCTGTCTGCCTGTCACCTTTCCTCGGTCTTCCCTCCCTCTCCCCACAGTTACTACCTTTCTCGTGACATTGTTCTGCTGTCCAGTGCCTCCCTGCCCCCTCCCAGGGGAAGCCCTGTGACCTGCACAGGCCTCCTGGCTACCTGAGCAGACCTCCTGCCTGCCTGGCCTCCTCCATCCCACAGCCCCGTCTGGCTTCAGAGGCTTCTCTTTTCCATGCCCCCTCCCCCTCCCAGTTCTGGAGGCCCCTGCCTGGCACCAGCCCAGCAGCCCACTCACCTGTCAGTCCCTGTGGCCCCAGGACCAGCCCCAGCCCCCTCACTGCTGCCTTCTTGCTCCCTGCAGGCTGGCTTTGGCTATGGGCTCCCCATTTCCCGCCTCTATGCCAAGTACTTCCAGGGGGACTTGCAGCTCTTCTCCATGGAAGGCTTTGGGACTGATGCTGTCATCTATCTCAAGGTGAGGCCCTGCCCACTGAGTCCCCTGGAGAAGGGTTTTCTGGGCAGGCAGGGCCGCTGTGAGGTTTCCCATCCACCCCTCCCTCCTTTCCTGGTTCTAGACTCAGAGTCAGCAGAGGTACAGTTCCTCAACCCATAAGCCCCCAGCTTGGGAGGGAATTTCAATCTGTGGCCCACGATTAAGACCCCTCTTTCAGGGACCTTTGACCTTTTAGACCTGGAAAGAAAGGGGACTGTGGAGGTCTTGTTATCCAGCTCAGAGGGTGAGACTGAGGACCCAACCTGGTGACCTTAATCAGGGTCACAGCCCACCCTCCTCCCTCTTTCTCCCTGACCTTTGAGGGAGCAGCTTTCTTGAATGGGCAGGAGCAGGACACAGGAGGGAACAGACCCTTCCATTGCCCTTCTGAGCAGGGTCGTGTCTCAGCCGGCTGCTGGTGGCTGGGCTGACTTGCGGTGGGACATGCGGCTSAGGGACCAGCACAGCCACCTGGGGAAGGGTGGTTTATTGAGGAGTGGGCAAGTCTCAGGGAGGTGCGAGGCTCACCCTGTGCTCCGCAGGCCCTGTCCACAGACTCAGTGGAGCGCCTGCCCGTCTACAACAAGTCAGCCTGGCGCCACTACCAGACCATCCAGGAGGCCGGCGACTGGTGTGTGCCCAGCACAGAGCCCAAGAACACGTCCACCTACCGGGTCAGCTAGGGGCCGCCCTCCCCTGTAGTCGAGAGGACAGACTGCTGCCTCGGGGTCTGGCCACCAAGGCGACCCTCTCCGTCACCCAGGAAGTGGGGTGGGGGTGGTTCTCCCTGATGACCAGTTTCTATCTCTGTGGAAGTCACTGCAGTGACTGGTTTGTGGTGGTCCTTAAGTGCCAATCTGTCTCCGTGGAGACACCTGGGTGGTCTCCCTGGGTCCCAGTCTCCATGGGTGATGCCTGAGGATGGAGGATGATCCACCCCATGGGTTGCCCTAGAGACACTTTCCCACGGTGGTCCTGAGACCAGGACTATCACTCTTCTGCCAGGGTCCTGGGTCCCCCTCATGCCCACCATAGCCCTGGACTTCCTCCTGCCTTACTCYCCACCACTTACAGGCATACTGCCCTGGTCCATCGTCAGTGTTAGGAAGGGGCCAGGTGCCCCCAGGCCTGGTGGGGGGAGTGGAAGGGAGAGGATGCACCTCTGACCCTTGTCGGGGTCTTGCTCTGGCACCTCTCCCTCCACTCTGGGCATCAAGGTAGAAGTCGGCAGGTGGGGAGTAGGGAATGGTTCTCAGCCCAGGTCTATCCCAAAAGTAGAGGAACCTGGGGAAACCTCGAGGTTGCTTGCCCTGCCAGGGAGCCTCAGGTGACCTTGGCAAGGTTGTGCCACCCTCCCCAGCATGTCCTCACGTGCACACTGTCTGCCCACCCCACCTCCACTCAGTCCTGCCTGACCTCAGCCCTGCTGTGCCCAGCGTGTACTCGAGTGGCTTTCTCCCTGGATGCTCTGTACATAGCTAGTTTTATAGCCCTGAGTGCCCCCACCCTTCCCCTTAGCACACAGGGGGTTAAAGCTGTGTGTTCCTCCCAGTGGCTGTGACGGTGACAATGACATTCACAGTAAAGAGGAGATTGAATAAGACTGTGGCCTGGCTGCATTGCTGGGGGCGGGGAGCCACACACACCCTCATTTACATAGACTGCCATACCCTGTGTCACACATGATGTCACCAGGACATTGGCATCACCCGTATGTACCAGGAGTAAAATACCAGGCAGCTCCTTCAGAGCTCTTGACAGCCCARCAACAGTGACAGGCCTGTCAGTCCACCACACATGACACAGCTTCGTCCCTGTGTCCCCACCCACCCCCACAACTGGGACAKACAGGGAGGTCACTGGCACATCGTAAATGTTTATTGAAAGAAATTGAGAACCGCCTCCCCCCTTCACATGCAGGTGGACACCCACTATAGCTCCTGATGGCTTCAAGGACACGCATGCCTTCCCACCTCCCCACCAGCCCCTCTGCCAGGCCCAGGGGTGCCCGTGCCCCCGCTGCTCCCTTTCTCTCTGGAGCCCCACTCCCAGCCCAAATGGCAGAGGGGAGGAAAGTGCTGGTCCCAGGGAGGGGGCCCTGGCCTTGAGCCACAGACCCCTGGCAGGAGTGAGGGGTCAGCATGCACTGGTCTTGTCCACCTCTCCAGGCAGACAGTAGGGGGAGGGGTTTCTAATCCGAAGCCCCTGGCTCCATTGGTAGCTCTAACCAGGGCCCCAGAAGCTGAGCTGGCTGCTGGCCAGCATGGTACCTGGACAACCTGTCTCTGGACATTTTCCAAAAATGACAGACACCACTCCCACCCGGGGGTCGTTCCTGGCCCTTGCTGCAGCCTGTGAGCTGCAGCCTGYGCTCCCTGCCTGGTCTAGAGCCCTGAGCTCCTCACAGTGGCCGGGGCTGATGGAGGGAGCCAGTGGACCCTTCCCATCCAGCAGCTTCCAGGTGAACCCCAGATTTTGCCTCTGCCGGCTGGGGTGAAGTGCCATGGGTTCAGCAGCACCAAGGCACCGGGAGGGCTCTGTCCCCAATGCTTCCAAGTGTGTTCTGCCCCCCAAAAGAGCTCAGGTGCTCTCTGAGGGAGCAGGAGGAGGAGGAGTCCTGGCTGGAGAGCAGGTGAGAAACCTGCTCTTGAATAGGCCCTGAAGGGACAGGCTGCCTGGATGCCGTCCTTGCCTTGGGACTCACAGGACAGGGCAGGAGAAAGAAGGGGTTTTTGTCCTGTCTTCTCCTATCCTTGCAGAGGCCACACGTATCTCTTCCTGCTCTCTCTGCTCTCCTGTTGAGGAGTTGGCTGGGAGTCTACCCTGAGTGCGACTTGCTGTAATGCTCACTGATCTACCTGGGGAGCAGAACAGCTCTCCCCCAACACAGCCACCTTGAAGAGCTGGAGAGGCACAGCTCTGTCCCCTGCTGAGATGCCCCGACTACCCTCTGAGCCTGAAGACCCTGCCAGGTGCAGGGCCTCTGGGAGGCAGGCAGGCACCTTCATGCCCAGCACCACCCTGGCCTGAGGACATAGGGCCAGCCTGATCCCGGCTCCTCTGGGCTTCTGGACTTAACTTCAGCCCTGGCCTCTCTGTCCCTCTTCCCTTCAGCTGCTACCTGCCTCCCCCAGGAACTCTGTGCCAAACGAGTCCTCAGAATCGGATTTATTACTGGGCCCTCTCCCTGGGGTCTCCCTTCCCGGGGACTCTGGGTCCAGACAGAGTGAGAGAGGGCACGTGCCCCCAAGAGTGTGGGGCTAGGCCAGCCCAAGCCTGGCACCCAGGCCCACCCCCCTGGTGAGGCCTGTGCCCGCTGAGCCTGGTGTCTGCCCGCACCCAGGTGCCAGTGCCACCCTGCCCGCCCCTAGCTCTTCTTGGCCTCCTGCTCCCGGCGCCGCAGCTTCTCCCGCTGCCTCGCAGCCTTCTCCTGGGCCTTGCGCTCCTTCTCTGCAGCTGCTGCCAGTTCCTTCAACTTCCGCTTCACTAGCGCCCGGTCATGCGAGTTGCTGAGCCCCAGGCTCTGGGGGGAAAATCCCAGGGTGGAGGAGAGCATCCCAGAACCTTCCAGATTCAGCTCCAGCCAACACAAGCCCAGGGCTTCCTTCCGTCCCAGCGATACACCCTGAAGGGCAGCCTCTGCCTCCTACTGTGACTTGCCCAGGGATCAGAAGYCTCAGTGAGAGTGTGGAATTGGAGTGGTTGGGAGAGATGAGGCTTGAGGTGGGCCTCCCCATCCGTGTCTTCCCTCCTTCCACTTGGGGTTTCAGCCTCCACACAACCCTGCCCAACCTGCTGAGGCCCAAAGATGGGGAGTGACTTGCTCAAGGTCACAGAGCTGGTCGGTGGCCAAGGCCCCTCCCTACTACCCCCAAGCAACTCAGATGACAGCTGGAGACAGGCTGGGAACCTTCCAGCAGAGTTCAGAGGCCACCCTGCAAACCGTCCCCATGACACATCACTACCGCTAGCCTCTGAGATTGAGAATGGGGCAGAGCTGACCAGGGAGAGGCCTGGCTTCCCATGATACTAGAAAACTCAAGTTCCAGAGGTCAGATGACCGTCCCAAAGGGAAAGGTCAGCTTGGAGGCTTGGGCTGGAGCTAGATGATCAAGTTCAAGTCGTGGGCTTGGATTTCCAGCTGGACTGGGGTCCCTTACCAGACCCCTGTAGGACCATCCTAGAGGTCAGAGGTCTCAGCAGTGGCTGGAGAGCGGAAAGGCAGCTCAGGAAGCTGGGCCAAGGGTCAAAGTAGCATGAGGAGTTCTCCAACCTTGAAGGTTGCCTCAAGCTCTGTCTGGGTCATGACCTTTGCACTCTGACCTACCTTCAGTTTGCTTCCGTCCAGCTGCAGGAGTTGTGGCCCRTCCACTTGCCGGGCCGCAAACTCAGCGGCGTACTGCTCCAGATTGAGGCTATGTAGCCACTGGCCCACCTGCTGGCTGGTCCAGTGCTGGACAGTAGGGAGGGGCTCATCCAGGAACTGGGACAGAGATGAGGAGAATGTGGGGAGAGGCTCGGCCGCAGCCTGCACACTCAGCAGGACTCCAGCCGGCATGGCGGCCAGCCTCACTCACCTCATCTGAAGACTGGGACAGCGTGTGGTAGGGGTAGGAACACTTGGCCTCCTGCCGGGGACCACTCGGGATCTTGGGGCTGCTGCTGGGGGGCGTGGAGTCGTCACTCAGGGTGGATTCCTACATGGGAAGGGGTGTGTGCTGATGAGGAAGGGAGCCCCCTTGGGCCCACCACCCTGTCTACATGGAGCTGAAGTCCCAGACTAGGCACCCAAAGTTGCTCAGTGCCCTCTGAGCACAAGCTGGGAGCTGGGCAAACACAGGACATGGTAACTTGTGTGACATGTCATGACCTGGGGCCTTTGAGAGGCAGGCAGCCATCTAGGGGGCACAGGGCTAGAACTAAGCCAGACAGAAGAACTGGCAGGAACAGAGGTGTTAGGCTCGGTGCTGCTTCCTACAAGAAGCCCACCAGGACTCCCTCAGGTTGGGTCAGTTGTCCTGACTCCTGTGTCACCTCGYTGGTAGATGCCCTCACTGGATTATCAGTTCTATAAGGGCCTATGCTGGATCTTGTCTACCACAGTGTCCCCAGGGCTGGGGGTCATGGAGCTTTGCAACGAAATCTGTGCAAGTCAGTGAGCAGGTCCCCTTTGTGGGACCCTTCATTTGTCATCTGTACAATAGAGGAGTGAGCCTGCCTCCCCCACCTCACTGTTAAAGCAAAAAGGTGTGCTTGGGGCGTGGTGACCTGGAGAGTGCGGATGAACATGAGCACACACTCAGTGTGGCTTCTGTCCCTGGGCTTGCTCCTCCTGCAGGGCTGTGAGCTCTCAGAGCACCAGGCTGGGTCCTGTTCACCTCTATATCTCTGAAGCTTCACCCCACAAGCAGGTGGCCCAACTCCTAACAGGGTGTCACATCAGACCTGAGCCAGGCAGAGGGGTTAGCAGKCAGGGAGACCCCAGGCTGGGTGAACAGCAGGGCCCCAGTGTCAGAGATGCGGGAGGCCATGAATGAGTGAGGCAATGAACTACTGAGAAGAGTGAATGAACTCAGGTGACGGTGGAGTCATGGAACACACAGTGGCTCTGAGGTGGACAAATGGATTCTAGGAAGGCCTGGATCCCCGTCTGACTATGGTGTAGTATGTCACCTGAATCCAGGGGCCAGTTTGGGGGCAAGAAAGTCCTGGGATTACCTGTGATGCTGACTTCTTGGGGCTGAACCCCTCATGTTTAGGGGAGCAGGCAGGAGAAGTGATGTTGCCTGAGGACGCTGAACCCTTGCCGCTGTCTGTGAACCAGGAAAAGGGCAGGAACGGGGAGGCCCCTGACCGGCCAGACCCTTCCACCGACTCCCTGTGAAGAGAGCACCCAGCATGGGTGTGGGCACCAAGGGGAGGCTGGGAGCTGACGGTGGGCACTGTGGGCACCTCTTACCTGCTGCCCATGGACAGGCGGTTGCTGCCCTTCTCCTTCCGGCTCTTGCCAGTGGATGCTCGGCGGAGGGTGACCCTGTGGGGAGGGCAGGGGAGTGGCAGAGCTGCTCTTACCCCAGTAGCTCCAGCTCTGCACGGTGGCCCCTCCTTCACTCACCCCAGGTCCAGAAACTTCCGGCGAGTCTTCTTATCCAGACCGATGGTGGGGCTGGCAGGCTCAGGAGGACTGGCATCCCGGCTGTCATCTTTTGGGGACAGGGGGAGCAAAGAGCCAGTACAGTGGCTTGCCTATCTTCTCTGGCGGGTTGGCGTATTCTTGACTTAGAATCAGCCACCSTGGCTCTGGTGTCCTTCACTAGCTGTGTGACCTAGGATAAGTCACTTTTTCCTCTGAGATTCTGTCATTTCAAATGTGGGGGTAATAATCTCTGACCATGTCATGGTACCTTTGAGATGCATAGGAAAGGCTCTGACAAACCGTAAAGCACTTTACAAATTGACAAGGTAGGGACCACTACTATTTTTGGGGGGAGTGTAAGTTCTRGGGATAGAACTCAGGAGCACTCAACCACTGAGCCACATCCCCAGCCCTATTTTGTATTTTATTTAGAGACAGGGTCTCACTKAGTTGCTTAGTGCCTTGTTTTTTCCGAGGCTGGCTTTGAACTCGCTATCCTCCTGCCTCAACCTCCCAAGCCTCTAGACTACAGGCATGTGACATGGCGCCCGGTGGATCACTACTATTTACTGTTAACTTTATCCTGGCCTTCTAATCTTGGCTCAAATGTCACTTCCTCAGAGGAGTCTTTGATGATGCTCTCAAATAGGTCAGATACCCTGATAACAGGCACTTCCACCGCCATGCACATTTCCTGCGTAGCAATCATTACACTTTGTAACTGCACATTTATTAAGGGATGATTCGATTGTTGCTCCTCTAAACTACACACCCCAGGAGGACAAGGACTGCCTCTATTTGCCCTATTTGTGCCCCAGGATCCAGCAGTGTCTGGCACATAGTAATTTCTCTGTAAAGGAATGAATGAACCTTGGTGTTCATTCTCCCCAGCTCCCCATGGCCACCCAGTTCCACTGGGCGCAGCCACTGCCTCGGTGTCGCGGGGCGCGGCTGGGGAAGCTGCGGTGGCTGTGCGCACCGGCAGGGGGCGCGGTCCGCGCTCACCTTCGCTGTGCGGCTCCGCGCGCGGGTGGCGGCGTGCGAAGCTGGGCGAGCTGTCGGAGGAGGGTGCGGAGCGCGGCGGCGAGCTGGAGGCGGCAGCCAGGCCCTCGTGGGAGGCCGCGTTGTGTAGGGGCCGATAGCGTGTGAGCGGCGACGGCGGTGGCTCGTCCTCGTCCAGACTGCGCCGCAAACCAGGAGGCTCCAGGCAGAAAGAGCCCCCGCCCGGGGAGCCAGGGCCCGAGTGCAAAGGCGAGCGCAGCCGGTGCAGGGGACTCCCGCAGCCATCGGTCACCTGGGGGAGGGGACAGCCGTTCATCCTCCCCACTGTGCTGGAGCCCTGGCTCCTGAGTCCTTCTAGGGCCTGGAGGGAAGGTCTCCCCGTGAGCTGCATAGGGAAGGGTTGAGGTCCCCGGCCTTGCTAGCTATTATTGTGACCAATACTGAACCTGTGCTGGCCTCAGCTTCCTGATCTGCAAGCTGGGTCTTGGGGCACAACCAAAGCAAATGGAGCTTCTACTTTAATAGGAGGAGTCGGCCAGAAGTGAAGTGCACTGACATTTGGTAGCATTATTATTACATCAGCTCTCTGGGAATGAGGCTTCCCCCAAGGGCAGGGAAAGCCCAGGGGAAAGAGAGGTGTGTGGGTGTGGGTGTGGGTGATGGGTGTGGGTGATGGGTGTGGGTGTGGGTGGGTGGGTGTTGCCCCAACCTTGCCTCCAGGCCCATCGGAACCTTCACCATCCTCAGCAGAGCTGGCACTGTCCCGAAGCCTGGAGCGGGATGGCCGGTGTCTTCGGCCCTTGGCCAGCAGCTGGGCCCGGGCCTTGTGTAAACTGCTGTCCAGTCTGGCGGTCTCTGGCACAGCCAAGTCCAGATCTGTAAACCAGGTGAATGGGCAGAGACCAGTCACCTGAAGGTGGAGAGCCCAGAGGTCCACCTTGTTCACACCCCAGGCATTAAGCCAGTACTTCTGAGTGCCAGGCACTGCAAGGCCAGGGGAGATGGAAATCAGGACCCTCCTCYGCAGGCTGGGGGAGACCTAATCATGTCAGCACATAAGTACAGCCTGCATAGAGGCACAGAGCAGCCGTATTTGGAGGGGTCAGAGGGGGAAAYGCCAACCCAGCTCCTAAGGTGTGGAGGGGAGTTTCCAAATGACTAGGTGGCATACRGAATGCTGAAAGTAGGGAAGCGGGGATGGCACCTCTAGGGGTGGTGGGAGGGAAGCTCTGTAGGGAGAGGAACTGGACGAGGCTGCAGACATCATGGTGATCGTGGCTACCACTTAAGAAGCAACCACAATGCACCAGACACTACAAACATCATCTCTCATTCAAAACAACTTTGAGAGCCAGGTRTGGTGGCACATTCCTAGAATCCCAGCAATTGGGGAGGCTAAGGCAGGAGGATCACAAGTTCAAGGCCAGCTTCACAATTTATCAGGGTCCTAAGCAACTCAGTGAGATCCTGTCTCAAAATTTAAAAAATTTAAAGGAAAAAAAGAAAGGTCTGGGGATGTGGCTCAGTGGTTAAGTGCCCCTGGGGTTCAAACCTTGATACAAAAACAAAAAAAAAAAACAAAAGAACAAAACAAAAAAAAAAGAAAAGAAAAGAAAAACAACAACCCTGGGAGGGGAGGACCCCACAGCTACTACACACACTGTACAAACTAAGGCTCAAAAAGATCGAGTCACTTGACTGAGCCATCAGCTAGCAGTCCTCTGGGATTTGAGCCTGACTAGACTGGCTCCAGAAACTGGCCCTGTGGGGACACTTGCTGTGTCACTCTTAGGGTAGTATTCAGAGAGAACACTGGTGAGCATTTGGGGGCCTGCATTTGAAGTGAGGCAGAGGGACTCCCACAAGCTAGTGGCAGTGGCAGGAAGAAAGTCTCCACAGGCCTCTGAAGCCTGTCCCTGCCATCCGGGGGTCTGTGGCCCAGTGCTAGGTCCTGCATGATGGCCCCAAGGAGGAGCAGGCAAACGCAGTGGGTCACACACAAAAGCACTCATGGATCAGTTTCACTTTTTGTGTACCTACCTGAGAATGGTGCCCTCACACTGGACTGGACTTGGCATTAAGACTCTTCCTGCGCCTCAGCATGGTTCAACCCTTTCCTCTCCACACCTCCCTTGGGACCTCTGGGACCCCATTCCATCCCTCACACACACCCTTGTCCTCCTTGTTCCTCCCTCTTTTCTGTAAACACCCCAAACACACCTGGCTTAATGGCCACTTATGCCTATTTCTAGCTGACTGCTCCCCTGAATTCCAAGCCCAGGCACTTGGGCCATGTCCAGGGAACTTGCCGTGACAAAGGACCCCAGACACCTCCAACTCAATACTTCAACACAAACCCTCTGCCTTGCCTCAGACTGCTCACCTCTCTGGCTCCCTGAAAGGTCCCACTGCCCACCCAAGCCACCCAGGTTAGGCAGCTCTGGGCTACCGTCCTCCCTCAGCCCCACRCCCAGCTGGAAATTCATATGTCCAACTGTCCACTCAGCACTTCCGCTGACATGTCCAATGGGCTCCTTCTTCTTCCACACCAAAACCCAACCTGTGGCTCTGCCTCCCCATAAGCTGCCCCCCCAGGCTCCCCAGTTTGATAGCTCTACCGGTTCCCTTGCTCAAGTCAACCCCCCAGAGTCATCCTTGAYTTCTTTCTCTCCCATCCTACAAACTGATCCAGCCAGAATTCCTGTTGGCTCTACTTTCAAAATATATCTAGACATACTGAAATATTTATGGTGAAGTGATATGATGTTTTGGATTCCGTTCAAAATAATCCAGAGCAATGAGGGCAGAGTGTGGGAGGGACAGAGGCAAAACAAGACTGGCTGTGAGTCGGCGCTTGTTGAAGTGGGGTGACCTGGACATGAGCACATGGCAGAGTACACTGCACTCTTCTTTATTTCCTCATTTTTTTTTTTCTTTTTTGGTACAGGGACTGAACAAAGGGGTACTTAACTAATGAGCCACATGCTCAGCCACTTTTTTACATTTTATTTTGAGACACAGTCTCGCTGAGTTGCTTAGGGCCTCACTAAATTGCTGAGGCTGGCTTTGAACTTGTGATCCTCCTGCCTCAGCCTCCTAGCCTCTGGGATTACAGGTGTGCGCCCAGCACTCTTCTCCACTTCTGGACATGGTTGGGATATAACTCAGCAGTAGGGTGCTTGCCTATCATGTGCAAGGCCCCCGTACCACCAAGGAAAACATTATGGTTGAGACTTTTCAAAACATGCTGTTTATGATTGAGTCTACACACACTCATCCATCCACACAAGGACAGGAAAGAGAAGAGGAGGGCGGGGAGCAAGCAGGTACCTACTCACAGCGAGGTACCATCATCTCTTGCCTTATTTATTATAAAAAACAAAACAAAACAAAAAACCTTCCCCCTTCTTTTCCCACATACATTCCTTCTGCAGCACACAGCCTGTGTGATCCTAATGAAACCCSATGTTCTGTCACTCCTCTGCTCAGAGCTTCTGCTCTTCTCCCTCCCTCCAGCAACCCTTCCTCACGGAAATCCAGCCTGCACCTCAGGGCCTTTGCATGTCTCTCTTCCTACAGAGCCCTTGGCTAGATTTCTACTTGCTTCTCTCCCTCACCTTCTTCAGGTCTTTGCTCAATTTCACACCAAGGCCCTTCAGACCACTCAGTTGATATCACCTTCCCACACACACTCCAAAAGCCCACTCCATTTTTCTTTCCACATCATCTATCACTTTCTGGCATATTGTGTAATTTTATTGTCTCTCTTCATTCATTAGAATGGCAGCTCCACAAGGACAGATTTTTCTCTATTTTGTTCACTACCCCAGATGCAGAACAATGCCTGGTACATAGTACACATAGTAGGTGCTTAGTAAATACTTGTTTTTCATTTTGTTTGTTTTTGCAGTAACCAGGACCTCACACATGCTAGGCAAGTGCTCTATCACGAGCTACACTCCCGCCCCTTTTTATTTTGAGGTAGGTYCCCACTGAATTGCTGAGACTGGCCTCAAACTTGTCATCTTCTTGCCCCAGACTTGTAATTTTTTTATTATTATTTAATTTTAGTCCTGGACATTAGACCCAAGGGTGCTACATCCCCTGCCTATTTTACTTTTTAATTTGAGACACAATCTCGCTAAGTTACCAACGGTCTTGCTAAATTGCTGAGGCTGGCGTCGAACTTGCAATCTTCTTGCTTCAGCCTCCAGAGTGGCTGGGATTACAGRAGTGCGCCAYCATGCCAACATTTTTGTAAGCACTCTTTTAATAAAACAAGGAAGTTCTGTTGACTGGCCTTTCTTGCACACGCYGGGCAGCCTGACCTCCCCATCTAGACTGCACTACCTCAGCTCAGGCCTTCGCCAGTGCCTCCACCTCTGCCAGCGGCTGCCATCCCAGAGTGTGGCTTCTGCATCTGGGTACACTTCCCTTCCCGCACCTTCTACAGGTTAGAAGAACTTTCCAAAGCACATTTCTTGCCATGTCCCCTACTCTCCTGCTTTGAAACCCTCTGGGGTCTGTGGGGGGTGGTGGTGGGGTGGATCCCAAAGCCAATATAAAGTCCAGCTCCCGAGCCTCAGCCCTGTATCAAGACCTGGAGACCCAGCCTCCCTTTCCGAGTTTCCTGGACTCTTCCTGCGCTAGACTCTTCTATCACACCTCAGGTAAGAGCACAGGCTCTGGAGCTGCATGGYCCAGGCCAAGGGCACTTCTGTCACTTGTTGTCTGGGTGATCCTGGACCAGTTACTTACATTAGGTGCTGGCTCCCTCATCTGTAAAAAGGGGCCAAACTAGCAGTGTCTTACTGAGAGCCTTGTCGTGAACATTAAGTAGAATCATCCATATAAAGTGTTTCATCATAATGCCTGCARCTTGGCATTTGCTGCTGATGGTGTGAGCATATCACTACCCAGTTTTGTTTTGTACCAGGCCTTGTCCTATGCCCGGGGTGGTGAACAATGCTCACACCATGATGATGTATTTCTGCCTGCCTTTGCCTCTGTCCCCACCTGCCCCAGCCCTCCCTCAGTGCCACAACTCCACCCTTCTTTGTCTGGCTGACTAACACACCCCTCCTCTTCCCACCTCCTCTGGCCTCACAGGATGGTCACCTTTGTTTGCCTCTGGTGCTCTCAGGATATGGACCCCCACTTGCTCCCATCYGAGAAATCAAGCTCCCTAAGGATAGTGACTTGGTCTGCTTTGTTCTTTGCTGACTCTCCCCAGAGCCTTGTATAGAACCTGGCACCTATTAGGAGCCTGTGGATCTTTCCGGAATGGCTGAAGAGACAAGGATGGCCTGAGGGCTGCTACTCATCTTARACAGCCAGGCTGAGGCCTGGGTGACAATAAAGAGCTGAGGTAATAGAAAGACCCAGAGTTTTCTTCGGAGAGAGAATGGTGCAGGCTTGGGCTTGGAGTGTCTGAGGAGCAGCCAGGGGACTGGTGCAGCCTGCAAAGAGGAGCCAGGAGTGGGCTGGCGAAAGGGGATGATAGAACAGAGAGGCTGCTGCAGCTACCAGGGGCAGTGAGCGGCTGAGGACTCCGAGGGGGCAGATGCTGGCTTAAGGACTGATTTTTTAGACCCAGGCTTGGCTCAATTCTCTGGCCCCGCAGCTGCACTTGCTTTGCTTCTGGTGTCCACAGCCCCTGGGCTGAAGTGGGGAGGGGTCCTCCTTTCCCAGCCCTCAGACCCCCTCACCCAGACTCCCCAGGCTGGCCTGGTATCAGCAAGCACTGAAGACCAAACYGCAGAAGAGGCAGAGCTACTCCCCGCTGGGCTCCTCAGTGCCAGGCCCTCCTCTAAGTGCTTCACAATTACTCCCTCATTTTACCTCCCACGACCCAGGAGGAAGGGACACTACCAATCCCCAGGGCAGCCTTAATTTGCCTGAGGGCACAGAGCTGGTAAGATCCTGCCAGGGCTAAAGACAGGCAGTCTGGCATATCTGTAACCACCAAATACACTACATCCTTTCTGAAGCACAAATGCTCCGACTTGTAGTTAACTCCTGATTTTATGGGTTGGGAAGCTGAAGGTCAAGGAAGAAAGGTTTGGCCTGGGTAGGAGGGAGTTAAGGATGGTGTCCAGGTTTCCTGGCTTCCAGACCTGTACTCTTGCACCCTCTACCCTCCTGTCACTCAGCTGGTGCTCAGCCAACCTGTGCCAAGGAGAAGGGCCCTCTGCTCCTGACTCTGGGCATCACAGTCACCCTCCATGGGACAGTTTAGAGGGCAAAGGGAATCCTGGTGGTTTCTAAGTTTTTGTTTTGTTTTGGGCACTGGGGATTGAACTCAGTCAGGGGCACTCCACCACTGAGCCACATCACCAGGCTTATTTTGTATTTTATTTAGAGACAGGGTCTCACTGAGTTGTTAGCACCTCGCTTTTTGCTGAGGCTGGCTTTGAACCTGGGATCCTCCTGTCTCAGCCTCCTGACCTGCTGGGATTACAGGCARGTGCAACTCTACCCTGACAGTTTAGAAGTTTTGAGGCGAGGTCACCAGCCTCTCCTGGACCCCTTGGTCTACCAGGCCCCTCAACCCCTTCTTCCACCTCTTGCCATTTCCTGCTCCCTCCTCTGTGCCCCCTCTTCTTCCCTCCTGCCCTGGGCAGTGGGAATAATGAATATTTAATTGCCTTTCCCATCAGGAAGCAAGGCCCAACTATCTCAGTAGAAAAGGGAAACAGGAAAGGCCTGGGTGAGGAGCAGAGGGTGGAGACTGGAGGGGGAGGGGAGGCAGGAAAGCCCAGGGGAGGGACAGCTCACCTATTAAGCCAAGGGTTAGGCTGGGCCTGTGTGGGGACACAGGAACCCAGAGACTGAGGCCCAGGGGAGCCCCTGGGAGCCTGGGATGGGAAGCAGTGTTCCTCAGAAGCCAAGAGGCAGCAGCCCTGGTGTCACTGTGGCCAGGAGCAGTGACAGGGAAAAGACAGGAGGAAGATGGATATAGGAAGGCAGGGGAAAGAAGCTGGGAGCCCCTTGGTGTTCCGGGTATAGGAGCCCCCCACACCACACACCTTAATCCAGCTGGGAAACAGCTTCTCCACCCCAGGGCCTGTTAGGAATGCCGCCCCACTGGGGCAGTCAATTTCCAAATGAAGGTACAGGTGACCACACAGGCACCCAAGTATGTGCTGAGGACAAGGCCATGCAGACCAGCATGTGGGGTCAACGTGGGGGGTGTGAGGTTGTATGTGTGCTGCATTTGATTCCAGGGCAGAGCCCTGGAGTGAGGTCCCATGCACTATGCAGGTGACTAGGAGGTGATGCGTGTTGTCTAGGCTGGAATAGACAGGGATGGAGCACAGTGAGTCAGGCAGTCTGGGGTTCTAGCCCCAGGCCTCTCACCTAACTTATCATGTGATCTTTAGAGCAAGTCACTTTAACACTGCATTCTATGCTCCTTTTCCGTAGAGAAATGACACAGCGCATGTGAGACGGAGTATGTGGACTGGTACCAGAGTAAGATAAGTAGATGAGGACCCACTAAGATAGTGGTGACAGAGTCACRCCACAGTACACACACACATACACACACACACTGAACACCCGAAGGTCCTCTCTCCCCCATTCCATGCCCAGTAGCCTTGGAAAGAAGTGCTCTTTGGCTGTGTCTATTGGTAGAGATGGAGTCAAATACAACTTACCAAAAACCTCATCTGCGGGTTCTCGGAGCTTTGAAGAAGCCATGACTCAAGAGAGCTGTGGAGACAAATAGAGAGAAAGAAAAAGAGACCCTGGATAAGAGGTTCAGGTTGGTCAAGTCAGRGGACAGGTCCATGGCTACACCTGCTCCTGGTCTGCTGGCCCTCACTTTCCCTCAAAGCTTTTCTTACAGCCCTGGGAGAGAAGCCATCTGAGTCCTCCTCTACACTGGGGGTGTCAGGGCAGCAAGCACAAGCAGAAGGGGATGGCTGAGCCAACCCTGAGCACAGATGCAGCTGGCCCTGCAGTGGTCCAAGCCAACTGGCTGTTGCCTTCACACAGGGCTCTTCACTGTCTTGGGCCCTTCCATCACTAGTATCCCCTAAAAAAGCTTTCAATCATCATAAACCGTCCAACATCAAGTGWAGAAGAAGTCATGGAGATTACTAAATCTGATCCTCTGATTTTACAAACACAGAAACAGAGGAGGAAGTGGCTAACCCACAATCACATAGCAAGTTAGTGGTAAATACAGAATCAGAGCCCAGGGTCTTCCATCCTTCTACCTATCTATTTATCTACCCATCTGCTTGATCTGCTTGATTATCCACCATCCATCCAGTCATTCATCCATTCCTTCCCCCACTCGTCTAATATCCATCTCCCCATCCCATCCATYCAATATCAACCTCAATCCATCCATCCACCCATCTTTGCAACTATCAGTTCTGTGCCCATCTTCCATCCACCATCCAATCCTGCTTCCCCCCTCCCCACTGCACACTGGGGCCCTCACCACCTGCCTTTCTGAACATGACTGTTCAGGAAACTGGCACCATCAGCAGGGCCACTGTTCTAGGCAGACTCTCAGTTCTCCCTGTTCTTGACAGACGCACAGATGCAGGAGGGTATGAGGAGTACTCACAGCAGAACAGTGGACAGCCAATGCTCAGAGCATCAAGTATGTTCTGGGAAGGAGTGTGGATGGACCACGTTATTTTGTTCTTGTTTGCTTATTTGGTGGGAAGCAGGAAGGGATGGCAGGTAGGGAAGCCGGATATAGCAGGTGAAAGCATTTGGACAGGCTTTCCTAGCAGATGTAGGGGAATACTGATGAGAAGACAAGGAGGAAGCTGGGACTCACTAACGGTTTAAGGCAGGAACACTGCATAGCCAAGACATGATCTTCAGTTACTTCTAACACTCAGGTCCCTTAGAAAAGGGCAGGGCACTGGACTACACCATGTCCTTGACAGATGTGCAGAGAAGCTGGAGCACATACCTTCCGCCCCTCCTTCTCTGTTCCTAATGGTCTCACTGTGAGCCAGCCAGGCTTGAGATCTTAGTATCCCCACTTTTCAGATGTGAAAACTTGAGATGCAGAAGAAGCAGAACTCTGCCTTGACCCATGCCTGGTTCTCAGCACTATCTTGAGGGATGGCCTGAAACTCCTGGGGTACTCCTGAGGAAAAAACACCCCCTAGGGAAAGGGACAGGGTAGAGACAGGGGAGCTGGTATACACAGCCTGGGATTAGGGGAAGTATTAAAACCATTTAAAACCACCTCCACCCCAGACACCATGGATACCTGGGGTTGAGCAGGGTAGGGGAGGAGTTGGTGATGCAGGGCCTCCAAGAACCTTCCCAACATTCTTGAACTCTGGGGATTAATAGTAGCCAAGATCTAGAATGGTTCTTCCTGCCCTGAGGGGTCAGATGAGAAGGGAGGCTACCCCAAAGAATAAACCAAATTCTCACACTGGATCACAAAGCCTTATCTGACGCTAGGGCCCAGCTGTCCCCTCTTCCAGAAAGCTGTCATAGTAGTTCTCCTSTCTATTTTTCTTCATAGTTTCTAAACTCACCCTTCTCCAGTCAGTGGGAAATGAAGAATTTTTCAGACTTCACTGATTCCCTACATGGGTCTTAGCTCCCCATATCAGATGGGAGAGAGGCCATGTATTCCCCCATTAGAACAGGGGCTTTCAAGACAGGAGCTTCCCATCAGAATAGGGGTCCTCTGAGGGCAGCAGTGGTGTCTCCTCTTAGACACTGAGAAGGGAAAGTTCATGTGCTCTTTATTCAGGGACCCAGTCCAGGACTGAGACCCTTTTGTGTGTAGAAGCCCCTTTCAGCACCCTCTGGGCTGAGCTAGGGCTTCCAGGTAGCACCCACTCTCAGTCCACCTGATTCAACACAAACTGCTTTTGCTTTTCCCTTCAACAGCCAGCTCCCTAGGGTGTATGAGGGACCCAACCCTCCCTACACCGCCCCATGGAGAATTCTAGGGAAGCTTGATATGTAGAAGGTCACCAGATCCTGCCACCTCTCCTTCCAAAATTGAGTCTTGGAAAATTAGATACTCAACCTCACCCTCTTCCCTGGGTGAGAAGTGTACATGAGCACGTACACACACAGACACACACACAAACATACTCCTAAACAGGTAACAAGGGTAGAAATGAGCCTGCTCCTCTGGACAGCCACATTACCAGACCATTCTCTTCCCCTACAACTTCCAGTTTCTGGAGGAGCATCAATGACCTCTGACTTTCTTCTGGGAAAAAGGGATGCAGGTGAGTTAAAAAAATAAATCTGGTACCCAAGGGAAGGAGAAAGAGAAAGTAGAGGTGCATAATCTAGGGAGGAAGCAGGAGTAGGAACAAATAAGCATGCCAATAAGAGATTGTGACATCAAAGGGGACTGAGAAGAAAGAGCCAAAAGGAGCAGAGTGAGGCCAGAAAAGCAGTGGAGAAGGCAGAGGGCTGGGAGCCCAGAGTGGGGCCCAGGGTGGGGTGCCAGAGAGCCACTGCCTACAGGCTAGAGGAAAGAAAGGGGCCCAGGAAGAGGAGAGAGAGAGAGAGAGAGAGAGAGAGAGAGAGAGAGAGAGAGACTCAGAGAAAGTGCAACTGGGAAGGCTAGGCAGGATGGACGGTGGATCTAGGGAGGCTGTGCCCCTCCCTATGTGGCCAGTCTTCCACAGGCCCCAGGCTGGGGACAGCCTGCAGGAGTCCGACACCCCTCTTAAGCTCCGCTGCACAGCGGGTGGAGGTGGGGACGGGCTACCTATTTCACTCCCAGGGCCCCTCTCCCTAATCACAGCGGGTGGCCAGTTTCTCTCCAACCCACCAGTCCAACTTCTCGCTGGGCACGAAGGAGTTAAGTCCTCTACCCCTTCCCCCACACCAGTGGGTTTTTTTTTTTATTAATTTCTCTGGGAGAGAGGGAGGGGATTAGGGACACAAATCCTATCTCCGCCCCCTCCCCTGACAGCCCAGCTCCCCAGCCCCGCGGGTCCCCCTAGGGATAGGGGGAAAAGGTCCCTATCCCTTGGACCCATCCAACCCCACTCGGGCCAAGTGGCCGGCCCGGCTTCCCCGTCCACCCCGGGGGCCCGGCCTCTCACCTCTAGCATCGGTCATCTTCAGTGGCTGGCGCCTCGGGAACCCCTCAGGCCCATGGTGCTCAAGGCGGGGGCCGGGCAGGAGAGGGGCGAGGGACCGTCACCCCGGTCGCGGGGGGCTCCGGGCTGGCTCAAGACGCTCCATCCCGGGGTGGGGGGGGAGGGTCGGCGGGGAGGGTCCCGCAGCCGGAGAGAAATGGAGAGCGGGGGCAGTTTGGGGGCAGAGGAAGGTTTGCAGGAAGCAGGAGCGCGGGCGGGGCTGGACCTGGAGACCTGACGGAAGGATGCTCCGTGTGTGCGTGCGTGTGCGTGTGTGTGTGAGTGTGTGTGAGTGTGTGAGTGTGAGAGAGCGCGAGGGAGCGAGCGCGCGCGCGAGCGGAGGAGCGCCACCTCCCGCCCCGCCCCCGCCGGCCGGGCCGGTCGAGGCCTCGGCCTGGGAGGCGGATTCGCTCCGCGACGCGTCCGCGGGGTCGACGGGGGTTCCCGGGAAGGGGCGTGCGGGGGCGCGTGGCGGGGAGGCCGGGCGCCGGGAGACAAAGAGCGGGCGGCAGGGGGCGGAGGCGGCGGGATCCGAGCGGAAGGAGGCGGCGGGCGCCTCGGCCGGCCCGGCCCGGGGTATCCCAGTTGCAGCTACTTCTCGGCCCGCGGGAGACGCCACGCACTGGAGCCGGCGCGGGGGCAGGGGAGCGGCAGGGAGGCGGCCCCACTGGGCTTCCGCCCAGTCTGCAGGGCCCGTGAGGACTCCTGATTGACTCACTCACACACTCATTCAAAACACCCGCCCAGCCGCCAGCCCCGCGCTGAAGCCGGAGGGGACCGCAGTGAACCCAACCGACCCAGTCCAGGCCGAGGGCGCTGGCCGTGCAGCCCCGAGGACTGACGAGTAGAGAGGCCCTCCCGAGCCCCGGGCTGTGGGCCGGGTCTCAAGAGGGCACTTCGGCCGGGAGGGAGAGAGCACGCGAGGGCGCCTGGTTGGTCTGGGGAGAGTGGACAGGGAGGATTCCTACAGGAGAAGGATTCCTACAGGCCGTTAGGGGAGAAATGCTCATCGCCACAGGGGTTGCGGGTGAAGGGGCCAGAGGGGAAGACCAGCTGATGCTGCAAAGGTGCACGGGGAGGTTTGGCGTTCCATTCTAGTAGCCATGGGGGAGGGAGGTGGAGAACGTTGACGGAGGAGAGAGGGGTGCAGTTCTGCGTTTTGGGAAGAACCCTTGGCTCCTCAGTGGAAAGCTGATTGCAGAGGACATCCTGAGGGCAAGAGCCCCTTCAAAAGAGGCTGTGAAGAAACGACAGTAGCGGGCAAGAAGAGTAAAAATCAAGTTGAGAACTATCCAGGATATAGAAGTGAATCAAGTGGCAGGAATTGGAGGCTGGCTGGACAGAATTGAGGGAGAAGGAGGGATCTTGGATGGCTGTGGATATTGACTAGAGGCAGGAAGCCCTAGAGCTGGGTGGGGTAAAGGAGGGATGAGCTCAGACTTGGACCTGGTGAGCCAGCGGGAGGTGGTGGTGGAGGAGAGGTACCCAGGGAGATCATGTAGTCAACAACTAGCTGCCGTAGGCAGGGATTGAGGTGTGTCAGGCACTCTACTAAGAATTTATCAGATTATTAATGTCATCCTCACAATAAATCCATAAGGTAGGTGTTTGTTACCCTCCTACCTTGGAGAAGCTAGAGACTTAGAAGGAATAGAGACGTAGAAGGAAAGTGGTTTAGGAGCAGGTGGTGAAGCTGGAGAAAGGTCTAGAATTCATGAGGCCAAAAGGTTAGAGAAGGAAAGCTCCCTCAGGGCCCATCCATATCTGTAGTCTGAGGCCTCCAAGGGTCTGTGGCATGGAACTGTAGGTGAGGGCAGATCCTAGGAGATCTGTGGAAGTCTGGGACTCTCTGGGTATTTATAGGATCTGCTAGCAGCCATGGGTTGCTGAGGGGGTAGGGTCTCTGGTGACAGCCTGTTTGGGCTGTGTCTGGAGTGTTTTAAGAGGATGTGGTTTACAGGCTGAGATCTGGAGTAGGGGGATTGAATATATAACCCATATAGATCTCAAGAGGTTGGGGGTGGTGGTGATAGAATATAAGGACACTGAGGCATTCTGGGGGAGGATATGTTAGACCTGARAGGACCCATGTTGTTAATGAGGCCTAAGTTGCTGGGAACTGAGACAATTCTCAGCTAGGGTTGTGACAAAAGTGCTCAAGTTCTCAAGATCTGGGCAGGTGACCTGGGTAGGGGATCAGAAGGGGGGTAGGGRAGCTAAGGTGGAAAACTTCACACAGGCCTGGCCATGGCCAACTGGCCCAGCCTCAAATATGGAGATAATTCACGGGCAAGTCATATCTCAGGCTTGAGAAACTCACAGCAGAGCCACAATACACCCAGCCATTCAAGGGCTTAAACATGAGGTGGCTACTAGGCCCACCTTCTGGAACATATGTATAAGGTCCCTCACATGACCCATGACAGATGGTGATAGCAGGACTCCACCCTGGATGATTAGCCCCAGATAGACCAGCATAAACCCTCAGTAAACCCCCAGGTCTGCCTCCCCAGCCATGTCACTTCTTGGGACTTATTGGCTAGGTTTCTCCAGTGGCCCTGGGGTTTTGACTTTTAACTATGGAACTGTGACCTATGATCATGGGATGACTTATGATCATRGGATCATGCTGGATGGATCTGTCTTCAGTATCCCCAGAGCACTCAAGAGTGTTCCCAGGATGATCTACTTTGGAGGAGATGGTCTGAGAGAAATGGTCCTTAACCATCAGGTTTGGACTGGACTGGTCCTACATGGGCCATAATATAAACCAGAAATTTAGAGGGGTAGTTATGAGATGCCAGAATTTGCCTTGACATGAATGATACCTGGGTGACAGTCATCCACAGGGAGTAGCTGCCTCAGGAGCTGTCATTTGAGTTCAGGGCCCTTCAGGTTGGCACTTCTATTTCTTATGGTAAAGAGTGGGGAGAGTGAGAATCCCACTGGGGCCAAGTCAAAGAACACAAGCACCCAGCTTCGGTTCTCTCCCCATACTTGCACCGCAGCATCAAGGAAGGGAAGTTTGCACTGGGAACTGCCACAAGTTCCTGCCCCTCCCTTCTGCCTTCACCTCTGGGACTCAGCAAAGCTTGTTCCTGGAACTCCAGAATCGGACTCATGACCCTTTAGTATCAGATCTGGAGGCTGCAGCCAGATCTGCTGGAAAAGAGCAGGGGACTCGGGCTGTTTAAGACCTCTCAGGCTCACCTCTAGGAGAGAAAACTGGACATTTCTAGGATCAAGACTGCCCTGACATGTTACTTCCCACTCCAATAAATATTTGATCCTTCTAGGACCTAAAACAGGGCACCTCTGAAGAGTATCCCTTCCTTCAGTACTCAGGGGAAGGGCTTGGGGTTCACCTTATCATATCTAGCCCATCCTCTGGATTTTTTAGAGACCTTGCAAAAGGGATGCGACAGACTGTCTAGAAACGCCAGGAGGACTGGACAAAAAGCATATATGCTGATAGGGTAATGATGGCAGAAAGGCAGTTTGCAGGGGCTGGGAACTCTGCAGAAAGWGCATCAGGATCCGGGACAACTCTGGTGGTCTTGACCCCTCCACCCCCAGTGAATCAAGAAACCAGGCAGCGAGGGTCTGGGGGCTGCTTTTATGGGGACGACCTGACAGAGGGCATGGTCCGTACAAAACCGGGAACAATACATACATATATATATTATATACAGAGACGGGGTCCTCCAAGGACGGGGCAGGGGCGGCCGCTAGCCCGAGAAGCCGGAAGCGCCCCGCGGCCCCGCCCACCGGCTCCGCCCCCTCCATCTGCCGGGTGAAGCACAGGGGCCCGGCACTGAGACAGCCAGCTCTTCCGGGGGTGGGGGCACGTCTGAGGGAAAGAGAGGGGCAAGAAATACTGATAGATGTTAATGGTCTATTTACAGGGAACAAGGAGAGGCAGAAACGGATGGAAAGGGGTTGTTTTTAAAAAATGAACAAAAACCCAGGCTTGGGGCAGGGGCATGAGCAAGTGGCAAAACGAGATGGATTTTGAAAGGGGAGGGGTTTGGGGGGGTCTCACCTCCTTGGTCAAAGCCCCAATTTGGGGTTGAAGTGGGGGAAACGGAGTCGATTTCACTTAGAAAGCAGGCTGCCAGCGGGGCAGCCCTGGTCTCCAAAACGAAGAGTAGTAAAATTTCGCCTTCCAGTCAAAACATTGGAAAACAGCGGGGGTGGGGTGGAGGGAGGCTGAATCTCTGCGATGTTAGTACAAGGCTTCCAAGTGTGGCCCTGGGCAGGGCTGCGAAGGGCAGGGCCTGGCTTTTCAGTGAGAAGTGTTGCCCTTGCCTGAGACTGGCGTCTCTGCAACCAGGCCCCCTAAGCTGACCTCCCCTCCTCCCTGACATTCCCAGGCTTGGCCAGGAAACCTGGACCCCAGAGAGGCCACAGAACAGTTCAGGAGGAGGTTATGGCTATTTGGCACCTGGGAGAGGGGAGGCACAAGGAGAAATTGAGGGCTGCTGCTCTTTCCAGGAAAAGGGGAGCTGGGGACCAGGTGTCCTGGACTCTACTTTCCTCTACTCTCACTCCCCTTTCCCTGAAGGATACATGAGAAATCAGTGCAGGGCCAGGCCCAGCTGCTGGGCTCTGAGGTGGGCTCTATCCTTCCCAGGATAGGGAACAGGTACAGGAGGTGTTGAGGCAACCCCCACCCCCAAGCAGGAGGGTCAGAATGCAACAGACAGCACAATGATAGGGGAGAGGGAAGGGCCAAGAAGGTAGAAAGAATCTCAAGTCAAGAGGCCCAGGGGCATCCAGAAGCCCCATGGGTAGGGAGCAGCCTCCAGTTGGCGAGATGCTGGGAGAGCCTCAGCCCCACTCCAGTCCAGAGACAAAGGCTGGAGGTTGTAAAGTCTGGCAGTTTGTTCTGCAGGTCCATGTGTCCATCCACCACCCAGGCCAGCCCTAAGCTTCCCTTGGCCTTTATGCCTCAGCCCTATGGGGCAAGAAGGAGGCYGCCCTTCCAGCCACCAGTGTCTGCCTGGGCCACCTTAAGGGGGCCTGTGTTATGGGCCCTCTGGTCCCTGAAGCTGGGGGGAGGTGGGGTGGAAGGATAGGGGGAGTCGGGGCACCTGTCCCCAGGCAGAAAGAGGGTGGGGTGGGGTATTGAGGACAGGGGAGGGAGGACAATGGGAGGGGATTATTATTGTCCGGTCAAGGAATGATTCCTGTTAAGTAGAATTGGAATTCCTCAGTGTTTGCAGATTTCCTTCCAGTTCTGAGATCTGGAAAACAAGGATTGGTGGTCAAGCTTGGGCACCAAACATGACCCTGCTCCCTCTGCCACCCCAGTGAGGAAATGACCCTGAGCTCCCAGCCAGCAGCATCCTGGGGTCCACAGGTGCTAGCTGGAGCAATCATGCTGCTCCCTTCACAGAGCCCTGCCCCCAGGTTACCCTTGAGCCTACCTTGTCCAGGAGCTTGTCCATTTCCTCCTTCCGGGCTAGCTCCGACTCCTCCAGAACCCGTCGCTGTGCAGTCTCCTTTTTCAGGAACTCGATCTCCCTGGAGACAGGTGATGGACAGATGGTGGGTAAGGGTATGTGGTCTGGCTTCTGTCCAGGGAAGAATCAGGGTCCGCATCCCTGTCCTCAGATCCACTGCCAGCTCTGCTGTGCTGCTTCTTAGGTCAGGAGGTCCCAGGTTTCCTAATGTCTCCATGGCCTGGCCCTGCGCTGCCTCTGGGCCCTAGTCATTCCAGGCCCAAGTACCCCACCGTGGGGTTCTCCAACCTCTGTGCTCCTTGTCTCCCTGCTCAGGGGAGGGGATAGGGACTACCACTGAAGGCAACTCAATACTCCTGGGCCCAGGACCCACAGCCTCCTACCACGTACTTCTGCTGGTAGTCTTTGATGAGGCGTTTGGCCTTGCTGTACTTGCGCTCCAGGGCCTGGTACTGGGCCTGGGTCTCCCGCAGGTGCTCGTCCACAGCCTGGCACAGGCTCTGGGCCTCGCCCCAGTAGCCCTCCAGTTTCTCCATGCGCTCCTTGTTCTCCTCCACACTCTGCTCCAGCTGTGCCTTCTCCACCCGCCAGCGCCCCTTCTCCTGCTCCAGGCTCTGCAGCTGAGAGGGAGGAGTGGCCCTGGGTTGGTGTGGGCCAGAGGGAGCTCAAGGGCATCCCCATCTGGCACTGGGGCCAGAATCTCCTGAGGATTCCTGCACATATGGAACCCACTGACCCCCAACTACTTATTCTCCTTGGCTGAGCCTGGGAACTGAAACCCAGAGGGAGAAGACATAGGACCCCAGCCTCAGGGTTCCTAGCCAGAGTCCCTGTCACTGCACCACATTCCCAGGGAGGCGGGAGGCTTCTATTAGTCACTGACTAGCTCTTACAGCTCAGTCTCAAGCCTCAGCCCTCCCATCTATAAAACAGGAATGACAACTGCCACCACTGCCCCCCGCCACCAGCTTGCAAGGGAGCTTTTAACACAGATGAGATGGAAGATGTGAAAGATGTCACATCAGCAATGGTGAGGGTCATCACTGCTCTCTGTCCTTTCTGYAGTCCTGGCCGCTGAAGCTTCTGGGGCTTCTTGAACTATCTAGTCTCTCCCAGGTCCCAGGTAACTTTTGGTCCCCAACAGCTCAGCCTTTGTTCTCTCCACGCATACTACCTGGGGCAGGGACCCACCTCCCTCACCACCTCTGTGTGCTGAGCCCCAAATCCCAAGCTTCAGCCCAAATTCACTCCCAATTTCYAGCTCTCCAATTATTGGAGATCAGCTCCAGTCCTATCTCCCAGCTCCTCGTAGGCACCATGCCCCAAACCAGAGTCCCCATCTGCATAAACCAATGCCTCCTTTCTAGACTTTCTCACCTGTTTGAAGGTACCACCATTTTAGTCACCTCAGAAGCAGCTACTTTGTTCTCTGTGCCCCAGCCACACAAGTCTTCCTATAGACCCTCAGACTTGCCAAAGGGCCTTTGCACATGCTGTTCCTTCTGTGGGGAATGGCATGTACTCTCTCTGGCTAGTTTTTCCTCACCAGCTTGACCCATGCTCTCTACTCCATCTGTCACTGCCCCAGAGAAGCTCCCTGTGACTCTAGCAGCAAAACATGGCCCATTCTCACCTGGGCCAAGTTTTTTCTGCTCTAGGAGCTTAGTAGCCCTGTCCACTCCTACAGAGTCCCATGTCAGCTTGTAACAACAGTCACTGGTGTGCAGACTCTAAGCTGCATGAGGACACGGACCAACTCTGCTTTTGCCCATCATGATGAGTGACTGGAATAGTGTCAACCATCTAGAAATAACTTGATGGATGTTTGTAAATTGGAGGCCCCTTAGGTCAAATACAGCTTGTGATCCCAGAGACTCAGGAGGCTGAGGAAGGAGAGTCACAAGTTCAAAGCCAGCCTCAGCAACTTAGTGAGGCCCTAAGCAACTCAGCAAGACCCTGTCTCAAAAATAAAAAAGACTGAGGATGTAGCTCAGTGATAAAATGCCCTTGAGTTCAATCCCCAGTACAAAAAAAAAAAAAAAAAAACCCCAAAAAAACCTGAAGGCCCTCTTGCTCTCTGTGACCCTGGACAGAACTCTGACTTGCCCTCCCCCCGCCCCCCAAATGCCCTGCATACTCCCAGGAACATGGCCTGTCACCTCAATCCTGGAAATGAGGTTCTGACCCACCTTTCCTTTCCACACCCCTGACTTGTATCTGGGTAGTCCTGGACCACTCTAACAGGTACTGCCCAGGCCTCCAACCAGTTTGCCAGCCTCCAAGTCCTTTCTACCCTCACATCCTCCCACTTTTTGAGCAGTGACATTTTGAAAATCCCCAGTGACTGCACAGCCCCCTGTCATCTGTAGCCAAGGCTAGAGTCCTTAGAGGGAAGATGGCACACTGCTGGGCACAGCCCACTCTAGTCCACATGACTGCCCTGCAGCCTGACAGCCTTCTCCCAGAGCCAGCCTCCAAGTTCCAGCTTGTCTCCCTGTGAGGAATGCGCTTGCTGTGCTTCAGCCACTTACATCCTGCCCACTCCACGCACAAGTGGGAGTGAATGCACACGTGTACCTGGGTGTGTTGGGTCCACGTGGCCCCTGTAGACCCATCTCTCCCAAACTAGAAAACTTGTGGGGGTGCAACTCCTTCAATATGAAGTCTGTGTATCTATGCCTGCAAGAGTGCTGGCACCCAGTGTTCTTGTAAGCATCTGTGCATGGACATATGCATGTTTGTATGTCACATGTCACCAGCTGGTGCTGTCAGCATTAGCATCTGTGATGCTTGCTCAGGTAAAAATATGCATGTCCCAAGCCAGGTGCTCTAAATGATGGTCACACCAGTGTGTCTCAGAGCACTCAAGGGCAGTGGGTCCACGTATCTTGCTAATGGCCTTGGGTAGAATGTCATAGGAAGCACAGGTGCGTTGTCCTGTGATTAGGACTCTGCAGAGGGTGTGTGTGTCTAGGTGTCTGGGTCTGTGAGTACCATGTACCTGGGTTAAGGCTGGCACATATCAGTGTGTGTTCCTTTGGTAGTGTGTATTTGGCCTGTACATGGAGGAAGTGTGTTGGACAATGCAAACCAAGACATCTAGAGCTCAACTTAGCTGCTCCACTGTAACAGCTGACACTTGACTTTTGACTGATCACCTCCTGTCTGAGGGACTGTGCATTATCTCATTTAATTCTCACCAGGCTCCTAGGTGCTGCTAGTATTTTTACTCCATCTTTTTTTTTTTGTCGATGGACACAATACCTTTATTTTATTTGTTTATTTTTATATGGTTCCGGGGATCGAACCCAGTGCCTCATGCATGCTAGGCAAGCACTCTACCACTGAGCCACAACCCTGGCCCCATTTTTGCCCCATCTTAACAGTTGAGGAGATGGAGGCCCAGAGTGGCAAATGAACGGTGCAGCAGATGGGGTCCGAGCTCGCGCTCTCAGTCTGCATTCCCTCACCTCACAGCAGTCTGCTCCATGAGCACCTGTGGCCGTGGGTGGAGTACGGGTGTCAACTGCTGCAGGTGTGAGGGGGGATCCTCCCTCCGGCCCCCAGGCCTGCCCCTCAACACACATGCAGACGCACACACGAGCACACCTGCACACACATGCACCCTCACCTTCCTTTTCAGCTGCTGGATCTCTGCCTCGGTTACAGCATGCTTGATCTGGAGCTGCAGGGCAGAGGGGGTGGTACTCAGCTCAGCAGGGCCACCACCCAGGGCCACCTCCCTGGGCCCTCCTCCTACCTCTTTGAACTTGTGCACCAGCTTCTCAGGCTCCATGTCCACAGGAGACAATGCATCTTCATTCTCTGCTAGCTCAAACACCTCGATGGCCATCTCGCCACCTGGGAACGTGGGGCTCAGCTCCTCATCCTCGTCAGTGGCATATTCCCCTGTCTGTGAAGGGAGACAGGTGGCCGTGGGCCCTACCCACCCCAGCTGTTCAGCAACCTGTGACCAGAGCTGAGACCAGTAGTTGTCTGCCCATGTCATACTTGGAGCTGGCCAGGGGTGGGTTCATGCCTCCCTCAATAGCCCAGGGAGTCCCCTGAAGGCAGGGGTAGTTTCCCCATAAGACTAGGACCCTGAAAAACAGCCCATACTGTGCCCTTCACAGTATGGGTCCCCTGAGGTCTGCACCTGTCTCCCTCCTTAGATTAGGACCCCTGAGGTCAGGGGCTATGTCCTACGCTCAGAGTGGGGACTCTTCGAGGGACCAGGAAGGCTCTCTGAAGACAAAGGGTGTAACTCTTCCATCAGACTAGGGGTTCTCTGAGTGAAGGATCTGCTTTTCCTCCCTCAGACCAGGGCTCCACAAGGGGTTTGGGCTTCTTTACCAGGCCTGAGAAAGCCTAGGAGGAGACGTCTGTACTGCTTCATCTGGCCAGCAGAGGGCAACCAAGCCACCAGGCAGGCCCGGAGTCCCTACCTCCTCATCATCCTCCCCATACTGGGCGTATCTCTGCTCCATCATCTCCCGCTGCCATCGCTCTTGTTCCAAGGTCTGCTGAATTAGCTGGGCTACTTCACTCTGCTCTCCCGGCCGCTCCCGGCCAATCATAAACCTGCAGGGGCACCAGTGTCATCCCCTGCCTATCTTCAGCTGGTAATGCCAGCATCCTCCCTGCTAGTGCTCCCCTCTCCAGGCCCAGGCCCTCCCAGGGGAGGTGAAATGAGAGGCTGAGTTCAGAGGCTGAAGTGTTAATAATGAATGGAGGAACTCGGGGGCCTTACTGAGTTTCCTTCCCAGAGGAGGCAGGAAGGTCCACTAGCCCTCCTAGCCAGTTAATGGGAGGTGGATATCAGCCAAACTTTGGGCTGGACTGCAGAGGACATAAGCTCAGGAGCTGCCAGCATAGGGGGCTCTCTCACTACCATGTGAGAAAAATGAGGCAGGGGAATGGCAAAGTTGGCCCATCCGGGAGGGCTGGGGCTGTGGAGGTGTGTCTTGGGTTGGCTCCAAGTCCCTGAACTTCAGGAAGGGGCGGGATGATGCTAACTGAAGATTAGGATGGAGAGGAAACAGTGGAACTTCCAGGCACCAGCCCCTCCTCCCATGGCTACCCACATCCTGTTTCTCTCCACCACCCTTTCCTGGGGGTAGTGCCCCTCTTGTAGGGGGAAGGGAGTGATCCTTAAATATTATGCCAGAGATGAAATGGACACGGAATTTGGAACCTAATCCCTGGGTTTCTGGGTTCAGGGAGCAGTCTTCCCAGGATTGCTTGGGGCAAGCTGGAAGGGTGGTTTGAAGTGCAGATGAGAGGAGCCCAGTTTGATTGGCATTCACCCTGAACACCTTGGTTCTTTAAAGAGTGAGTCAGAGACAGGCAGGGGAAAGGAGAACAAGCCCAAGTGGACAGTATGGAGGGGCATGGGTGGGGGGCCTAGAAACCTGAGTATTGGTGGCCAGCAGTGGCCAGGGAGCTCAGGGTGTAAGGCAGGCCTGGAGCAGGGGACTATGGACACAGAAATTTTTGCAGTGAAACCTTGACAGGAAGTGAGCAGGTGGACAGAGTAGCCACATGAGGGCCCAGCCTCCTGCCTGCTCCCATCCCACCCTTCCCCACCCCTTGGGCTCTCACCGCACTCGGCCCTTGGTGTTCCTGAGCACGGAAGCTGCAAAGCTCTGGGTCACTCCCACCAGACTCGTTCCATCCACCTCCACCAGGAGATCATTCACCTGAATCCTAGGGGAGGTGACATTGGTTAAGGGGGTTATAAGGGGAACCGTGACCCTGCAGCAGAGATGAACCCCTCCCATCAGAAACCTGAGGTGTTTTGTCTACCTGCAAAATATTCATGATATCAGGGGATTAGGTGTTGACCAGGCCCACCTGGTGAATAGGAAGACCTTAGCAAGCCAACCAGACACAGGTGTCTAGGACTGGGAAAGGCGGCAGGTACACTTCCTGTAACAATCACACTCTTGCCCCCTCCTCCATCACATTCAACAGAGTGGTGTGACATCCTCAGAGTTCACCTCTTCCATGCATACATGCCCTATGCTGCCCTCTTACATGGACATTTCTGCCCAGACCTGAGTCCCCAGACATTTTCTCAAAAGTCTCAGATCTGAGCAGCACCCTGGTGCTCACCCACACTGACAGAGGTACATCCTACAGGCACTCCAGCTCTGCCTCCAGAGGCCCTGTCCTCCACTCAGGGCCGAGATGGTGGATGGAGCCTGGACTGTCATGGTCGGTGGGGACTTGAGCACCTCTGTCTGGAGAACTGCAGGCTTTCTCTCAGAGCGCCCCATGGAAATGGAGACACAGCAAACAGCTGGCCCCACAGGTCCCAAGCCCACACATGGCATGAGCTTACGGACACACTCATGCACACACACACTCCCCAATCAGCAGGTGACAAAGAGTGAGGATCTGGAAAATTCAAATTGGAAGGGAGAGAAGGTAAATAAAAGAGCAGGGGGCCAGGGTTGTGGCTCAGTGGCAGAGAGCTTGCCTAGCACGCATGAGGCACTGGGTTCAATCCTCAGCACCACAGAAAAATAAATAAAATAAAGGTATAAAAAAAAGAGCAGGGACTGTCACCCTTTCTGTTCTCTGTCCCTCTCCATGCCACCAGGGCCACAACAGGCAGAAACCCTCTGAATGGGGAACTATGTTCTACCAACATGACCCCAAGGTCAGCCAGCCCTCACAAAGACACCTGCTCATCTGTCACAGGAGAGGGTCTGGGTTTGGGGGTGCCACCACCGAGGACTCCTGATGCCAAGCTCTCACAGCCTCCCTTGGGGGTGCCAACAGCACTGCTCACCTACACCCCACCTCCCCCCTGCAGCATAAGCACAGGAGAAGAGCTGGCACAGATGTGACCCTGTTGGCCCAGAGCTCCATGAAACCCTCCCTGGTCCCTCTGGCCCACAGAACTTACCCTCCACCACAGATGCTCAGCACAGGCACACACGACACAGACAAAGAGCAGCCCCACCCCCAGAGCGCACCCCAGCTGGTCTCATCACACCAACACCAGGATCCCCCTGCCTGCCTTCTGCTCCCCTGCCTGGAACTTCCTGCCCTTGCTGGGCCTAGCCAACTCCCATCCAGCCTTCAGCTCTCAGCTCCCATGTCACTTCCTCCAGGAGGCCTTCCCTGACTCCCAGAGAAATCAAGCCTCCTGTGTTCTACCTTTACGTAATGTTCTCCATTCTGCCACTTTCTGTGTGTCCTTGTCTGGTGTCCCCTTTACTACACTGCCTGCTTCCTGAGGGCAAGGCTCTCAACATTGACCGCGTGGGGCCAGGCACCAGCCCACGGACAGCCAGGCACACTGAATTTATTTGGTGAAAGAAATGCCCCAACGTACCCAGAAAAACAGCCCATGCTCCCAGTACAATGCCAACACACACAAGAAGACACACAGTCACCATCTTCACCAAGCCTCCTCTAGAATGCCAGCACCATAAGCGAGGGGTTCCCATCTGTTTGTCCACTGTGCATCCCTGGGGCCAGGCACAGCACCCGGCAGCACAGCGCTCCACAAACATCTGAACCACACAGAGCGCACAAGCTCCCAGGAACAGCCTGTCCCCCCACACAGTGGCTTGTTCCACAGATGACGTTGGGGAGGGGGTTTAACAGGAGTGGGGAGGTTGGGGGTGGTACCTGCCATCCCGATGAGCTGCACCACCTTCTGTCACAGTCTTGACGAAGATGCCCAGCTTCTCCAGGCCCATGTCGGCCCCAGCCCCCATGCCGATAATGCTGATGCCCAGACCTTCGGAGTCTGCTGGACAGAGGGGCAAGATGTCAGGGACAGGGGGACATCCTTCAACCTGAACCCTCACTTTAGGGAACAACTCCCCTCCAGAAGGCAGTCCTCAAGCTTAGAGGACGTCCCCCAACTGGGACAGGGGCATGGTTCTGTCCACCCCTCTTTGCCAGGACACCAAGAATGGCACTTGGCTCATTCCCTCCCCTTTGCCCCTTTTAAAGAGCTCACAGGCAACAGAGTGTGCCAAGGGCAGTGGGAGTGAGAGACTACTACACATGCAGATAAGAGCACATGGCCGGATACTACAGTGATGCAGCCACGTCATGCTTATAGCAGCACAACACACAAGAGCTAAGCTATGGAGCTAACCTAGTGCCCTTCAACAGATGAACGGATTGTGATATATACACACAGTAGAGTGTAACTCAACCAGAGAGGACTGGAATTTTGGCATTTGCTGATAAATGGATGGATCTGAAGGCTATGGTGCTAACAAAATAAGCCAAGACCCCAAAAGTCAAAGACTGCATGTTTTCTCTGATATGTGGAAGCTAGTCCAAAGTAAGGGCAGAAAAGAGAGAGACGGTGGGGGAACTGGGGGATTCCATTAAAATACAAGAGAGATGGATGGACTAGATGATGGGGATCGAGTTGGAAGGAGGAGGGAAGATAATGGAATGAATCTGACCTAACATTCCTATGTTCCTATATGAATAGACCACAGTGAATCTCACCACTGTGTATACCCACAAGACACTATTTAAAAAACACTAAAATTAAATAGCAGAAAGATTAGTAATGAGAGAGGATAGGGAAAAAAAGGGAAGAGGGAAGGGAAARGGCAAGTACTGGGGACTTAATAGAACAAATTGTATTCCATGCTTTTACTATTATATCAAAGTGAGTCTTAATGTTATGCATAACTAAAAAGACTCAATGAAAAGGGAGAAAGTGTGTGGCTGGAATGGGGTCTGTGACAGGGCTTGGCCTTAATCCTTTTGGTCCCTCTCCAAGCAGTCTCATCTATACCCAGAGCTTCACTGACCAAAAACCTTGTTTTCTCTTGCCTACTTCCTCAGCCACAGTGGTCTGGTCTACCTCATGGGTCTCTGATATCCAACCTGGTGACCTTCCCTCCCTCAGACACTCCTCCAGGGACTGGCACCACCACCCTCCTACTGCCAGACCTGGGAAGCACCCCACCCCCTCATAGCCCACCAGGCCCTGTTGATCCCCCACCCCTGCTCTGCCGACACCTGGTCCATGCCACAGTGGTCTCTCCATTCACTGCTGATCCTGCATCACAGCTGATGTGGTCTTCCTTCTAGAATACCTTCCCCATGCCCTGCAATAGCTCCCAGTCCATCCCAGGGAAAAGGCATGGTCTGGGGGCCCTGTCTTCACACCCTTCCTGCTTTCACTGTGAAAATGCATCCAAGCCCCTCTTCTCTCTCCCTCACCCCCTGAGTTCCTTCTCTTCAAGCTCACTCAAGTGTTGCTCCCTTAGGCACGGCCCGCTCTCTAGGCAGGTTCTGTTAAATGCTTTTACAGTAGCAACCCTCTCTTTCCACCTGTTACGACTCCTAAGGACACAGTGGCTGCTCATCTATGTCTACTCCCTGTTGTCTCCCTGAGGGGACACCTCCCTGAGAGAGGGAGCCTGGTTTGGCCCACCACCAACCCTCCAACAGAGCCCAGGGCCCAGCAAATGGTGGTTTGTTAACTGGATGAGTGGGGCAGGGAGCGCCCCCGCTGGGCTGAAGTGCATGAGCAGCTGTGGGGCACTCGTGAGGGAGGCCAGATAGGGCTGCCAAGGGCCCAAGTTGGAGGAGAAGCCCAGCATACTTGTGAGAGCCCCGGAGTACTGCTCAGAGGCTGGCACCAGAGAGGAGCCTAGGTGAGCCCAGGTGGCCTAGATCAGGCCTCTCACCCTTCTCCAGCTCCACAGGGAACAGCTCCAACCTCTCCACCCGCTTCTCCAGTTCATATTCTGCAGAGGCCGCCATGGGATCCACATCCTCATTGCGCCGGTCATAGTCCTCGTTGGAGTAGGTGCTGAATACCTGGGGAAGGGCAGCTTGTCAGAGGCCCCAAGAGGGCCAGGGCAGAGCTGGCATGAAGAGGCTGAGCCCCACTGATGCCCCCTGCTCCCCTCCTGCCACAGGCCTTTCCCTTATCCTCATCCCCCAGTCCCGGGATGACCCCGGCTCTGAGCAAAGTTCTTGAGCCTGAAGCGGGGGCAAAAAAGAAAGGCACCCAGCCTGCCTCAGCCACACTGCAGCCAGAGCTAGCGCAGCAGGTCTGTGCAGAGCAGACGGGCACTACTGGAGGGACTGTCAGGCTCAAGAACCTAGACACCCAGAGCAGAGAGAGAGCGAAGGACAAGACCCAAGGGACAGACAGGTGAGGGTGGACATAAAGACAGAAAGATGGGAACAGCTGAGCAAAGAGGGAGAGGAGCGGGGATAAAGGATGGCGACTGTGCTGGAGGACGCCAGATGTGGGGTGGGGGCAGGAGGGAGTGATGGGAGAGGCAGACAGGACCCCACTCTGCCCTACCTGAGGTGGACTGGGGGTAGGGGAGGGAAGCAGGAAAGATCCTTTGTACTCCTATGGAGAAGGTCAGGCCCTCCAACCCCAGGGGCCCTCAGGGGCAACAGCAAAGGCAAAAGCTGGCTCCTACGCCCAGGCCTGTGTCCCTCTGGATTGGCTGCTGAGTTGTGCCTCCTGTGCACCAGGAGACCCAGGGAGAGACCCTAGGACCCATGCCCTGAGAGGACCAGGGATCCTGGGGAAGGGGCAGCCTCTCTGCCTGTGCCATGGTATCCTCTGTGTCTCTCAGCTGTCCCTCTCCTCCTAGGTCTCTCTGTCAAGGGGAACTCCCCAGCTCCCCCCTTCCCTCAAAGGACCAGAGAAGGGGCAGGAGCTCTGTGGGAGTGCTTGGTTCTGGTCACAGGCAGGGTGCCCCCATGGGAGTGTAATGAGCACTGTTTGGGGTTCCATGACTTGCTTGGCTTCACTGCCTGCGTTGACAGGTTGGCACTACTTGGAGCCAAGTGGGGACAGGGGAGGGAAGGAGCAGCTCTAGCAGCTGGCTGGGCCTGAGGAGCTGCAGTGGGACAGCGTCTCCCCCAAGGACCCTGCCAGGGCCCCCTCTGCTCTAGGAGCCGGCCCCATGGGTACTTGTGTCCCAGCCTTTGTTTGGGCTTGCTCCATGTCATCCCCACCCCCAACCACAGAGGCTCCCTGGCATGATGGAAGGGGGAGGGGCACTTATAGGACTAAATAGAAGCATAGCTGGGAGGGGCCTATGTGGTCACTTAGTCCAATGCCCTCAATTTCACAGCCTGAAAGGCACTCAGGATCAGGCCCATGGGGATCATCTGGCACTGTGCAGTGGTAAGTGGGCTGTTTTCCCAACATCTGTCAGAATCCCAAGCCCCTTGGAGGAAAAGGACACCCATTCCACATATAATCCAAGACGCTGGGTCCGCTGGCCAAGTCACAAGGGTTAGTCAGTGGCTGGACAGGGTGGGACCATACCAGCTGGGCTCTTGCAGGTGGGTGACCAGTGACTTTGTTCCCATCACACAAGTGCTCCAGGCCTTGGGACAGGGGCTGCGGTAAACCTAGACTCACTTTTGCATCTGAGGTCCCTTCACCTCTGCTCCAGGGGAGAGGGTCTTCCATTCCTTTCCTGGTTACCCCACTACCACCACAGACATCCCACTGCAACCCCTAACACACCTTTCCATCTTGTCATGGGTCTTGCCCTCCTGTCTTTCCTCAGCTCATCAAACCTGTTCATTTTTTTTTTTTTTAAACTGGGGATTGAACCCAGGAGTATTTTACCACTGAGACATATCTCCAGTCCTTTTTATTTTTTGAGACAGGGTCTCCCTAAATTGCGGACAGTCTCACTAAATTGTTGAGCCTGGCCTCCAATTTACCATCCTCCTGTCTCAACCTCCTGAGTTGCTGGGATTACAGACATGTGCCACAGTTCCCAGTGCCTGTTCACCTTTCAAATCCTGCCCCCTGCAGGAATTCCAGGCCTCAGGTTCAGAGCCCCCAACCCAATAACCCCTCCTATCAAATGGCCTTGGGGCCAGTCCCACCACCCAGGTAACAGTCTGAAACTACATTCATCCATGGAATACTCTGCTTCCATAAGGGCAACAACTGGGTCACTGGAGGGAGAGGGAACCCTGGACTCAGGATCAATGCAGGGTTGGGGGCAGGGAGAAGGAACCTGCGGCCCCTGCATCAGGGGGGATAGGAGGAAATCCCCAGCATAGCCAAAAGTCACTCAGCGCCTACATAGTGCCCTGGCTCTCATGCAGGGAGGCCAGTCTCACAGTCACTAGGGAGTCGGGAAGCACTGCTCTAAATCATGTGCTATTTTTTACCAAAAAATCAGGGTAAGGTGTCAGATATAGACAGAGGCCCAGACCTCACTCCATCTCTGAGGGCTTCCAACTGCTGGTGGGGGCAGGGGTGGGGGCCTCCTGACTCCCTCCCAAGAATACCACATCTTTCACTCACTTCAGGATCCCACTGCCTTCAGAGGGGACAGGGGATGGAAAAGGATCCTAAGGTCCGAGCCAGGGCAAGGGGCAGGCCTGGGAGGAGAATAACAGCCACTCCCCTTAACCTTTTACTTAGGCTCTTGCTAGGCTGGGAGGTGAGAGAGGGCAGAGGGTGAGAACCCTGAGCAGGGAGAAAAAGTTGGGCAGCTTCAGTGTCCAGGAGTAGTTATGGAAACTGCAAGCAAACAGATGGGTCTTGGCTGGGGAAGGTAAAAACTGGGCAGGGTCCAGGCCAGGGAGAGTCCCAGGACTTGGACACTTCCACTGGGCAGACCTGGGGCCAGGCACAGATGAGTCTGGGGTGGTGAGAAACATCAAGGCTGAATGTGCCAGACAAAAGTGGAGAGCAGTGGGGTGGGGGGCTYGGGTTCTTACTTCTTCCCAAGAGACATCCCCTCCTCACCAGCACTACTTTGAGGATCTCAGAGCACAGGCACAGCCCACAAACCAATTACCAACAGTGGTGGTGAGGATGGGAGTGCAAATTGAGACCCCCAAAAGGGGAAGTTCCTGTCAGGGTACTCAAAGAATGTGGCAAGAGCATTTGGGGCCTGCTAAGGCCACTGGAGTCTGTTCTATGGAGCAGCCAAGAGCAAAGGCTTGTGGGCCTCTGCCAGGCACCCTGGGGATCTCCCAGCCCCACCCCTTCTCCTTCAAGGTCTGCAGAAGGCCTTCCCCGTCAAGGGTAACACGAAGTTTCCCTTCCCTTGCAATGAGGGACCTGGGAAGCCAGCCCAGCAAAGACCCCAGGGAGCAGAGCCCCAGCGCCAGGGTCTTTCCCTCAGCCTCAGTCACATGTCCATGGCCCAGTTCACCCTCACGACCTGCTTCCCTCTTTCACTTCTGCAAAGTTGGGGTGGGAGTACAGATGAGGAGGAGGGAGGAAGGGACACCGTCCAGTCCCCTGCATCTTTGTTTTGGAAAGTTTCTGACTCCCTGCACCCTCACCAGACTTAGCTCCCCTACAGGGGACAGCAGCAAGTGTTTCTAAGCCCCCTGACCCCTCTTTCTCCAAATGGAACAAGTCATCTGTGGGGAGTGACTCCTGAGGACACCCACGCCCTTTCACATCATCCAAGTCCCAGCCTCTGGCAGGCTCTGGAGGAAGGAATGTCTGGGAGAGAAAGGGAAAGCAGGTGTCCCAGAGCCCATACGGGGCAGGGCCGGTTCTGCTGGTGCTAGGCGGGGCTGCAGGCAGAGGAACCTGAGGGCAGGTCGGGGCAGGTCGCCAGGTCACAGACCCGAAAATCGAAAATCGCCTCCCTCTGACAAACAGCTGGAACTCCCCCACGCCCCCCTCAGGGTGGGAACTTCTGGGAAGGGGGCTGGGTGGCAGGGGCTGACTCAGCCTGCCAAACCCCCGCGGGCGAGGCGGGGGCGACCGCGTGCACGTGGCAGGGGCGGCGCGGGCAGCAGGGGGTTCACTCACTTGGATCGGCGCGGTGCTGAAATGGATCTTCCGGCTCGGGACCGGGTCCTCCTCCTCCGAGAGCCCCGGAATCTCCACGCACCCCGACTCGGGCTCATAGGGGGGCTCCGCGTCTTCCTCGTCTTCTTCATCGTCCTCCTCCAGGGCACTACCCCCAGAGTCCTCCCCGAGCCCACTGTAGGCGCTCACGTCCACCAAGTCCGCCTCCGAGAAGTCCTCCTTCTTGGACTCGTCTGCCTCCTCTGGGGCCACGTCCGGGACCCGCCCATTGCCCACTCCCCTCTCTGGCGCTGCCACTGTAACCGCCTCCTCCTCGGGGGCTGCTTGGGCCTTGGGTTCCTCGGGTGCCGGGCTGGCTGTGGTTCCCGAGGTGCTGCCATTCTCCAGGGCCGCATGGACCGTCACCTCGGCCTGGATCACTTCCCCGGGCGCTGATTCGGCCTCCGACTCCCCGCTCTCCTCCACCTCCACCGGCTTAATCTTGCGCACCTCCCGGGGCTTTGGGGGCGGCCGGGCGGGGGCCACTCGGTGCTGCGGAGGCTGCTGCCCTCCCGGGCCGCGCTCTTTTTCGGCAGGGGCATCCCCCGACGGGGCGGGCGGCGGCGGCGGTGGCTGGAACACCCGGGACCGCTTACTGACCAGCTTCGAGTTGACCTGGGGAGCCCCTGCGGCCGCGGCCCTGGGGGGCCCGGGCCCACGGTGAAGGCCGGTCCTCGAGTCGGCCTTCTCGAAGACGGCGCTGAGCTGGCTGACAGTCGGCGACACGGCGTCGGCGTCCAGCTTGTCCAGCGCCTCGGTGCTGCCGTTAAAGCGCACCACGACGTCCAGCTTCCGGTCCTGTAGGCCGGCGCGCTCCTGCCTCAGCAGCCGCCGCGCCGCGGCCTCCTTGTCGCCGGCGGCGGCTGCCGGGATGTTCCGTTCGAACAGCTTCCGCGTCTCCTGCAGCCGGGACGGCGGGTGCGGCGGCGGCGCGGGCTGCGCCGAGGGCGCGGGCTTGGAGTCGAAGCGGCTCACGCGCTCGGACACGCTGGTGCCCAGCTTGAGCAAGGCGCTGTGGTCCACGTTCTCGTTCAGGCTGCTGGCCCGCGGCAGCGACAGGCGCACGCCGCGCTCGGGCGCCCGCGGGGCCTCGGCCAGGCCTGCGCCGCTGCCCGCCTCGCCCGGCGGCCCCGCCGTGGTGCCCATCTGCAGGAACATACTTTTGATGCGGTGGACGTTGGAGCCATATTTCTTGTGGTGGGCCGCCTTGGGTGCCTCGTCGGGCCCAGGTGCGTCGGGCGGCTTCAGCGCCTGGATGCCCGCCTCGTAGGCGCTGCGGTGCGGTGAGGCACTCCGGAGGGGACCCCCGGGCCCCCGCGGCTCCGTCTTCATCATGGTGGGGGGAGCCGGGTTAGCATCCCCCCGCTCCCCGCTGCCCCCCTCCAGCAGGCGGCCGGCCAAGTCGGGACCACCGCCCCCTCCCCCGAAGAAAGAAACCCCGAAAGGCCTTTTTCAGGGTCCTCCAGAAACCGAGCTGCCAAAAACAGTTAACCCCGCTCCAAAAAAAAAAAAAAAAAAAAAAAAAGAAAGAAAGAAACAGAAAAAAAAATCTCCGAGCGCCCTGTGTGGGTCGCCTCCCCCAATCAAGCTGCCAAAGACAGCCAGCCCCCCTTAAAAAGCCCAAGCGGCCTGGTGCGGTCGCCCCCACCCAAATTAGAAGAGCGGCGGCCGGGGCCACTGGGACCGCGCGCCCAGCCCGCGAAGCAGCGGCGGCGGCGCCGGTTCACATCGTCCGAGGCGGTGTCAGTGGGGCTGGCGGCGCGGGCGCTCCCCATTCCAGCCGGGGGCCTCGGCTCTCCGGGCGCCCGGCACCCCAGCGCCCATGGCTGCTCGGCCGGCCGGGCCGCTCCGCCGCGCCTCCCTCCCTCCCTCCCTCCCCCCCTCGCCCCGAGCCTCGGTCTTTCTCTGGCTCTGCCGGAGCCGCGGCTGCCGGAGACCGAGCGGCTGCCCTTCTCGCCGCCGCCGCTGGGGGACTGGCACCTCTGGGTCCTAAAGGGATCGGATTTCCGGGGCCGGAGCCTGTGAGCCCTCCCCTTTCCCTCCACCCCAGCGTCTCGCTTCCCCTGCCTATGGTTGGCTGGGAACCTTCCGCTGTCCCTAGACCATGACCAGTTCTCTTTAGCCTTTCTATCCCGATCTCTGTGGCTTATCTCGACCCGCATAGGCGCACTGCCATTTAAATTGGGAAGAGCCAACTCAGCCACGGTGGTCTCAGTGCGGCCCCTCTCTTTCCCCAATGGGAGGGAATGGTGGGGAGGGGCAAAAGATCATTTCTTTGAAAGTCCTTAGGGCTCCTCGAAGTGCTTCAGGGCTATCAGCATCAAAATCGCTGGGCGACTGGTAAAAATACTGATTTCTAGGCCCTTCTCCAAATCTTGTGAAAGAGAATCTCAGAAACTGGACCCTGGGATCTGTATTTTAACAATTTCCCAAAGAGAATCTTTTTTATCTTCGAAGGTGTAAAACCTTGGCCCACCGTTTTTGACCTTGCAGTGGTGGAGGAGGAATAATAAAAGGGGGTGGCCCCTCTTCCTAAGTGGCAAGGGATCCTTAAACCTGGCCTTTACTCTTGGAAAGTCTGAAGAGAGTGTCCTGTCACCTGCCTGCTCTGCACCGAAATCTAATTCGTGTGTAAATACCCAGACCAGGACACTCTTGTCTCTCAAACAGGAAGAAGGGGTTTGGGAGGAGGAATTCTAGAGGCCTGGGGCCAAAGTTTCCCCAATGAGAGTTCTAACTTGGCTCTGATTTAAAGGATCCTGGCCACTGCCTGCAAAGGGAGGAGGGGTGACAGTGACCTACACATGCCCTGTCCTGGAAACCCAGAAAGGTGCCTTGAAGATCCCCTATTCCTCACATTCACAACTAGTGGCCTAGGGTTGCCTTTTATCTCTCCATAGCTGTCTGAGTCCTGGAGGTGAAGGTCCACCCTCTGGACAAATCCAGATGTGTTGATCCAGTCTGCAGATCCCAGACGAACAGAGTGGACTCTAGGACCCAGAGAACAACCCAGGCACAAAGCCTCCCCCCCCCCCTCCCAGCTGCTTCCTGCATCTCGGGCCTTCCTGCGGCCTCTGCCTGCCTACCCCCCTTCCCTTCCATCCTCTTCCTAATCTCCCACTGGCTCAGTCTTGGCCTGGTAGGGCTGGCGGAGGGAGCTCTGGTACCCCTCCACTATGGGTGTGGGTTTTGTGGGATACTGACCCGTCAGCACGTGCTTAAGAGCTCTGTATGTGGGGGATGGGGTGTGGGGAAGCCGCCTGGGAACCCTGAATATTGGGATGGGAAGGGGCCAGGAACCACAAGAGTGGATCTCAAGGCTGGTGCCAAGGGGGAGGGAAGATGTGGGTTCTGAGCTGGAGCCGGAAATGAACCCAGACTTCAGGCTTTCCAATGCCATCTACATCTTTGTCCCATCATACAGGAGATGATCCCCTCCCCAGTTTTGCACTTCCGGATGGTGCACAGTGAGGACGCCCACCTCAGGCTCCCATCAGTACCACCTTTTTAATGCTTTTTAGAAGGCCTCTTTCAGGAGAAAGCTTTGGGACTTGGGTTTCCAATCTTAAGTGTGGGACTTGAACCCCTACCTCAAACCAGCTCTGGCAGTTGGGAGAGGACTAAAAGCTTACCCAGGTGGGGGCTGGGAATTTGGGCAGTGTCCTTAGAAGCTCTTTTGTGGATTGGAGGAGGGCGAAGGCCCCTGGGTGTTCTGCCCAGAATCTCCCACACCCTTTGTAGTGAGTCATCTTAACTAGTCCCAGCCCAAGGGGTCTGTGCCCACGCTTCTGGCCAGGTGGGGGAGCCCCCAGCTTCTGAGGGTGGGAGGAGGAAATGAAAACCAACTGTCAGATGCAGGCACCCTGGGACCCCCAACAACATCTCTGCAGCAGCTTGGAGTGAAATAGAATTACTAGGATGCTCGGGTCTTCCTTGTCCAGAGATTTATGAGGGTGAAACCCCTTTAAGGGCTTTGGGATGCAAGAGGGTGGAGCCAGCCCTGACCTTGGGTGACTGAGACTAATGAGCTGGATTCTTATTTCATGGGCTCCTAGTTAGCTGAGCAACCTCCAGCTAGGATTCCTGAAGAAGCTTTTAGGGAGCTTTAAGTGCTTCCCCATCACTCGTCTCTGAGGTCAGGCACCAAGCTGCTGGATTGTAAGATGGGTGGGGAATGGGTGTCATGATTTCCATCCTCTCTGGGAGCAGTGATCCCACCGTGAGGAGAGGGCTACATTTGGGAGAGTTACCGTCCAACTGAAGGCTTTATACCCTACTTCACTTCTCAGGCTCTGATGCCCACCTATTCCCTCTCACTCAGCACCCCAGGGTAACTCAGCACCCTATTCTTCCCATGCTCCTCCTAGTGGAGGAGACCTTGATGGTCAGGGTGCCTGGTGGTCTTCTGATGGACCTTCTTTCATTTCCTTTGTGCCTTAGGAGTGGCTCCCAAGGTTTTGACTTTGGCTTTACAACTTACTAGCTCTGTGATCTTGGACAAGTCATGTAATCCCTCTGTTCTCCGAGAGGATAAATCAAGTTCCAGGAGAGGTGACAATGACTGCAACCCAGACAACTAGGTACATGGGAAAGGTGAAGCTTTCCCGAGCTTGCTAAAAGGCCGAAGGCAGATATAATTCACCCCAACTCCCTCCCACCTTCCCACACACCCTCATCTGATGAGAGCCTTTGGAAAGATGCTCTTTGAGGACTGTTCCTTGAGGCTTGCTTGCTTTAAACATGGGGTGTAGCTGCAAAAACAGCAATACAGGCAGGGAGGGGCCCGATGGATAAGTCCCGAGACTTCAGCGCCCTGGGCTGAGGCCCAGGCTGGGTGCCAAGACTGGCTTCTCTTCCCAGCCCTGGGGCCTTGAGACAGCCTCCAAAAGTGGTTTTTCCCTGGGCACGGTCATCTGAGCAGGGACAGGTCTAGACTCTGTCCTTCAGATGTTTTGTGGTAAGCCAGTAGTCCTTGCCCCAATTTCTTCCTTTCCTGCCGGGGCACTGGGAAGTACACTTGTGTGTGTACACTGACATAGAGCAGAGCTCAACTTCAGCATGTCAGTGTTAGTAGGGCCTTTAGAAGCCCCTGTCTGACCCTTTCACAGGGGAGTGAGGAGGGCTGAGCAGTGGCTTACTCATTTTGAGGAAAGAGACCAGGCTAGGGTTTACAAGGGTCACCCATTTGGTAGGTGACCTTGGATTACTCATTTCCCCTCCCTACGCCTCAATTTCCTCAACTGGCCTAACTTGAATGTCTGATCATCTCCTGAGTATGGGTGATCCTGAGTGTTCCACAATCTGTGTGTGGAACAGAGCAGGACGTGAGATTTGAAGCCACACCATTTTTGTTAAAATCCCCAAGCTGCCACTTTCAAGCTAAGGGACTTAAATGTAATGTACCAAGCTCAGAGAGTTGTTGTGAGGATTAGTGGTGCTAAATGCATAAAGCACAGAGGAGCTGGGGGTGTTCCCTGTTATTGATGGCACATATATCTGGGGGTGTGTGTATGCACACACATGCACACATATGGGCAGGTGTGACTGAGAATGAAAATTGGTATCTGCAGCTCTATATCTGTTTTCATGGAACTTTGGGCCTCTAATTTCTTTTTTAAGGCCCATTTCGTGAAATTCTGAAATACAAGTACCCCCTGCCTGCAGTTCCTCCAAGTCTCTTGAGATCATTCTTGTAGTGAAGGTCACCTCCTTTCTCTACTTCCCAAAGGGTCTTTCATTCCTGTTTGTCCATGCATCTGCAAGGAGAGGAGTGGTGAGGTCCTCCTGTAGCTGAGAGACTCCTCCTGCCTCTTCTTTCTGGTTTGCTCCCTTTCTTTCCATCAGTTTCCCACACTTCAGTCTAGTGCCCCTTGGAAAGTTCAGATACATCTTGGAGACTGGCAAGAGGAACTGAGAAGGAGGAGTTAGTGTGTGTGTGTGGTGTGTGTGTTGGGGGGAGAGGGTGGGACAGAGGAAAGATTTCTCCAAATCATCAGTTGTTTTAAAGGAAAGCCTATATTTAGCTTGGCTTGGAGGGCCTGTAAATATGTATTTTGCAGCGCAGACAGCCGTAGCCATGGGAGCTCCAGAGACACGCAGGGAGGTCAAAAAGGAAAAAAAGAAAAAGAACCGGAAAGATTAGGCAATATATTTTGTCATCAGCAGATTCGAAGAACTCTTTCTACTGCCTGCTCCAACTGCTAATAATACACATTTCTATGTTTTGATGGTTTCTATTTTTCATCTGCTCTCTGGATCTTGTGCAGTGGGTGCCTGAGGAGGCGACTGACTCTCAGAGTCACCTTCTTCTTCCAGCTTTTTCATTACCTGCCCTGGATCCTGCCATCTTCCATCTTGATTGGGTTAGTGTGGCATCCAGCACATGTATAGCCTCCGGCACTGTCCAGATATCGGTCCCCCATACCCATTTCCTTGCACTTCAGGGGGCCTCAGTCCCAAGATGAGAGATACTGACACTTAAGGACAGTTCTACTTCAGAGAGGGAGAGAAAGAGAGAGGTGTGTGTGTGTGGGGGGGGGAGTTCTGCTTCAGAGAGAGAAAAACTTTCTAATTTAAAAATAACTTATTAGTCCTTATTTTTTAACTTTTAGCTTAAAAAGTTTCATATATATATGGTTGTAGGTGGACACAATACCTTTTATTTATTTATTTATTTWAAAAAATGTGGTGCCAAGGATCAAACCCAGTGCCTCACATGTATTAGGCAAGGGCTCTACTACTGAGCCACAACTCCAGCCCCTGGGAAGTGCAGAAAATCAGAATCAGAATTAACAAATGCTAGCGGTGTGACATTTTTTGCTTCAGGTTTTTCCCTGTA